TGAGCGTTGGAAGTTGACTGTATTTACAAACTATTTTAGAAAACATTTTATTGATTTTTTTAATGTAAAAACATGTTACTGATTCATATTAAGGTTCTCATATACTTACACAAAACTCATGAATTCTTTCGACTAATTGTACCGGTACTTAGTCACTTAATCTGGATTACTGTTTTCCCACGAATACCACTCACCAAACAATTCTGCTATTTCTCTAATGAATAAATCACATCAAGAAACCTTTATCTCACAGGATAATCACAGCAATTTGGAAAATTCGAGCACTCAGTCCAGAACAGCAGGGGGAGGCGATCGAAAAAGATGAAGTGATGCCTGAAGAAGGGGGATCCTTGTTCACTAATGTGGATGTTAAAATGTCTGAAATATTTTCATCAGTTCTTTCTGTTGATGTGAGTGCTGCTTTTTACATTTCAAATGGTGTTACAAAACACGTAATTTGTTTTGAGCGTCCATAGGAGTATCTGCTTCTGCAGGTCGAGTCCTTGATGGAGATGTTTTCAGGAGGTCCCCTGGAGCACAAAATGATGCAAAAGGCCGGTTGTATAGACTACACTGCCACACAATGGGAACTTGTAGGATGCAATATACAGCAGCGGCAAACAAGCTATAAGTTCGACAAAAACTTGTCTCGGTACGGAGGAGAAGCGACCACCACTGAGCAGAAGTATAGCTTGGTCAACCAAGATGGATGGGCCATTGAAAAGGTGATGACCCTCCAAGGTGTTCTTCTTGCAGACTACTTCAATGTAAGACACTCCTCCATACACCATTTGCTCTACTTTCTTTTGGAACTTTTGTGTTTTTCTTTGACTCGCTTTAAAATATGATTCGTGTGATCATGCAGCTCCAGATGAAGTACTATATCACGAATATACCTTCGAAACCAAATACATGCAGTATGCTGGTTTTGTTGGGGATTGCCTGGTTAAAGAGTACCAAGCAGCAGAAGAAGATCACGAAGACTATTATTTCCAATACCTCAAATAGATTGAAGGTACTCTTTGCTGAAGTCGAGAAGGAGCTTACATCAAAAAACGGTAGCCTTCTTAATGCAGCAATTGGTCCCACTACTGGTTAAATGTTATCAATATCACATACAAAAAGTATTACAAAATTCACATCAAAGCAATTCCAAGGAGTGCCCCAAAATTAACTAGCATGCAGGTAAGAATTGATAAGAGTATGTCATCAATAATTCATATGGTTACATTGCCTTGCAGTCAACCAAGTTATTGAGAGGCAGAGCTCCTGCTGTTCATTTCAAAAGTCAACCAAGTTAATTTTTAGTACAGGCTTACTGTGTAGAAGCTAAATAAAATGATCCTGCTTTCAGTTTATTGATCTCTGAAACAATCATGTTCCTTTAATCTCAGCCATGGGTACTATTGAAGTATTGATTTATTTTCTTTACACAACGGCTTTCAGGTACAAGCTAACATCCGTACAGCACCATAAGTAGATTGGGCATTGCATGAATCAAATGCGTATGAAGAACCCAGCAGAGTGGATAGCTGTTTGTGATGTCTTCCTGTTCAATGGTGTCACCTGCTTCAGCGCTCTTGCATTGCCGGTAGAAATCTTACAGAGATGAGAGCTCAAAGTGCTTCAATGTAAATAGATTGTTTCAGAAACACTTCACAGAAAGTGGGCGCAGAGTTGTGTATGTCCAGCTGACATATATAGTTAAAGGAATCTAACTTTTGCTCATGGATGTAAAATAGAAAAAAGTGGGGAAAATATGTAAGATCAAATTCAGAGTATGCTTTGTCATTTCTTTCTGTTGAATTTCCTCTATGCATGAGTATGTACAGATAAGCAGGAAATATTGGTTTAGGAGAAAAATGCATTAGCTTTTGAAGGAATATGTCGTGATGGACTTCACGAAGAAATTTGAAATATGTTTTTTCAGCTAATATGCAGTTCTAAGGGATGCTATATAGTTTCTTAAAAAATGTATTTCAGCTTATGTAAGAGAAGTGGTGCGAAAACTGGTTATAATGTAAGGCTGCCAAACATATGTTAGATATGTTATAATAGGCCCTAGGGATGTAAGAGAACAAATGGTGCGGAGACTGGCAAAAAAACAGAACAAAAGGAAACAAGTGTGGATAAAAATAAGCATCGGCCGATCCGACAGCAAAGGGAATGCACAAGCCAGACGATTGATGAACAGAAGTGCCTAAGGGCCCCTTCGGTTAGTCAGGAATGGAGCCCGAAACTATTCCTGTTCATCAACTTTATACAAATTCATGAACCATTCCAGCCGGGAATCGTTCCAGGGGCTGATTCCGGAGTAACCGAACGAGCCCTAAGGAAGATTGCATGCACCGGACAACCCGGTGAGAAGAATTGCACATTGGTGGATCATCCGGTGCACACCAATGACTTGGCCACTATGTAGCCCAGTTTGACAAAGGGCACCGGGCGATCTGGTGAAGGAAAAATGAGCAGCAACAGATCATCTAGTGACAATCAGTAAGGTGGCCAAAGGGAGTATTACACTCACCGAACGATCCCACGTTAAAAAAGGCACTCAATGGATCGTCCGATGTTTGGGAAAAAAAAACGGCTAATATCACCTTATGGTCTGACGACGCATCTTTTGAAGGCAGCAGATTGTACGGTGCTCACACTTTTCTGACGGACTTTTTCCAATGGCTAGTTGAGGGGGATGGGGCTATATATATGAGGTTGTATCCCTTGGTTGAGTGTGCTAGAGTGCCACAAGGTTATCACAAGTTAGATCAAGTGTTTCTATACTCCACCCACCATCTGAAGACATTCAAGATCATGTCCAAGGCTAGGATAGACACTATAGTGCATCCTTGTGCGAGTTAGGCCTAAGAGCTTGAGAGCTTTGAGTGATAGGGTTGTGTTGCCTTTGTATCTTGGTGATCTAGAGTGTTCTAGGTCTTTGTGACCTTCCGATGAAGGTGTGGTGGTCATCCATTCTTGGTGTGGAGTGGTGACGTGTCGGTGTGGGGGGGACGAGGAGACCCCTCCCTCATGTGGAGAAACTTCGTAGTAGATACGACATCAAGGTGACCGCGGTTGGGGGAGGTAGTGAGACTATGTGACTCGTACCTGCCTTTGGTTTGTATTTGACACCATGACCAAATCGGGTGACGGTGGTGGCAATTATGAGACTTGGTAATCCACAACATTGTCTTGGGTTAGCGCACAGAGGCACTAATTATGTGGCGGTCCAACACCATAGTAGTGATCGGGTTACATAAGGAGACTTTGTGACTCCATTGCCTTTGATAGAGCAAACGCCGTGACCAGGAGAGATTTAGTATCTAATCGGGTGGTGTCTATTAATGCAATGTCTAATTGTGCCAGTGCCATGGTAGTATCGTCCATTTTGGCATTCTATGTTCCCAACTATAACCCTTTTGAGGCTATTCGATCTTTGCACTAGGTGTCACATGCATGCGTATATATATGGGCATCCTTATACCGTGTTTAAATGAAAAGACAGTACATCGAGAAATCAAAGGCATACATTTCACACTTTTCACATGTTTCTGTTAGGATATACTCCATCCTAAAAAAGAATGTACTCACTCCGTCCCAAAATAAGTACAGAGGAGTCAAACCTTTTTTAAGATTGACTAAATATATATACAAAAATATTACTATTCATGGTGTGTAATAAGCATCATTATATTAGGTTGTGAAATGTATTTTTTATAAAAAAACTTATCTGGAGATATAAATATTGATACTACTTTCTATATAACTAGTCAAACTAAAAATACTTGAGAAGCGTAATGTGTTTGTTTTGGGACGGAGTGAGTAATTCTATGTTTGAGATGAGTCAAACTTTTTTAATTTTAATCTAGTTTATAGAAAATAATATCAATATTTATGTCTCCAAATAGGTTTATTATGAAAATGTATCTCACAACTAATCTAATGATATTTATTTGGTATCACAAGTGTTCAGAGTTTTTAGTACAAATTTGGGCAAACTTAAAATAGTTTGACTTCTTGGAAGTGAGAATTGTATTTATTTTAGGATGGAGGGATTACATCAGCACGTGTGTACTATATAATAACACTAGCGCAGAAAGTACAAATATAAAAGAAGAAGAAATTTGTTATGTGCATATCAGAAAATCCTGTGAACATCAAATTAAACTGCAGATCATATTTGTTATGTGCATCTTGAACCGTCTTTGATGTTCGTTTCCGTCGTAGTGCATTTCTATCTATGTTATATGCAAATGCAAACAACCTTGATAACACACGAGCTCACTTATTTCTATTTTCCGCTGTACCAGCAACCATATTCTTCCTCTGTTTCTTGATCATTGTCCTCCAAAGAGGGCCCACAACCTTCCCGATGTTGGCCAATCTATGATCGACTTCAACAACTTGGGAATCTAAGTAACATATTTTCCACAACACAATTAAGTTTTTTTTTGGTAAAAAAAAACAGGATACATTTACAGAGCCCAAATATAAACTGGCCTCAAAATAGTGAAACTCCAGCTCAGGCTCAGCAGCTTGACTGCTCATGCACATGCATGGATATCATATCCACAAGTATCGTGAATACACGATAAAAATAGTTGTTTTCATCTTTAAATAGGCTTTTGCATCGATAAATCACTCTCTTTAGCCCCCCCTCGCCATTTCGTTACTACTACATACAGCAACATATATAACCCATAGAGATTAATTTAGTAGATCTAGTAGTTTAATCAACTCCATACATTGTTGATTTCAAATATATTCAGGGTAAGTAATTTTAAATCTTTTATGCCCGTCTTCTTGTTTCTCTTATTTTTCTTGTGTTTCGATTTATAAGTATGTAATAAAGTGTTCGTTGCATTTTTTTTTTTTTTGATACGGTTCTTGCTTGTTTGACCAATTTTTAATTTATATATGTGACGGAACCGGTTTGTCCGTGGACAGGGGCCGGCGAATCAATCAAGAACGCCACCGCTAGTTAGGGGCGTGTTGGACCTGCCATGGGGGATCATCATCTGCAACTGCGCAGGCCGGCGTCGATCGAGAAGATCGCGGTGCCGGAGAAGAAGGCCTTGTTCCTCCACGCCGCCGGCGCGTCGCCGGGGGGCAAGCAGCTGGGCGCCGCCTCGCACGAGGCGGCAGCCGTGAGCATCACGCCGCGGACGGCCACGAATAAGCAGCCGGCGAGCCCCCGGGCGTGCCTCTGCTCGCCGACCCTGCACGCGGGCTCGTTCCGGTGCAGGCTCCACCGCGGCATCGGCGGCGGCGGCGGCGGCTCCGTCGGCTCCGGCCTCCACGAGATGAGCAAGAAGCCCGGCGGCGTATGACGACGCGACGCGGGCGGGCGACGAGCGTTCGTACGCCCTTACCGCAAATGCGCGGGTGCAAACACGTCATCGAGTGCATGGCCAAATATTTTTAGCCCTTTTCTTTTTGTCCCCTCTCATTTGTCTTCGCTGTACTGTATACTCCGTACGAGTCTGCAGAACACGTGTTAATTTCGTCCTGTACGTGTATGATGCGCACACGTGTTACAATCCTCTTTCAGCAATGGTTCCAGCTGCGGGGACGAAAAACTAAATGATGAATGAAAGAAACAGAATTTTCAAAATCACAATCTTTCAGCAACACTTCCAGCTGCGGGGACAGAAGCTTAACCTGGCAACTTTACTTAATTAGACATATCTGCAAGACTCGACTTATCACATTCTAACTCACCACGCTTGGTTTTTCTCTCCCAACAAACCAGCACCAGCCAGGCTTATCGGCCCAGAAATCAACCAGCAAACAAGCAAACATATATATTTATAAGGAAAGTAGAAAAGCTACGAGTTCTGCATTGTTGCTGTAATGAACGGGCAGTTACAAGGATTTGCAGTAACCAAAATCACTTGGATACAGATGTTACCCCACTTTCAGCAACAAAGCAACAAACCCACTCTTTTACACACAAAAAAAAGCAACAAACCCACTCATATATTTACGTCGTGACACTTACACGTCCACCTGAAAAGGACTGGTTTATGCATTCAAACATCTTAAGCCTATATGCAAAGAACTGACACTGGTAATGCCTACTGCATACATATCCAGATGATGTTTACTTCCTACATCTTGCACTCCACTGATCAGGTCATCATTGTAAACCATGAATCAGCCGGGATACCATCCGGCACAACCTTAGTATCACTGTGCGACCAGGTTGCAGGTTCCTTATAGAAGCCATGGTGACGTCTATGCTTGGCTGTGGTAGCGTTGTCCGTGCTTCGCAAACCTTAATGGGTAACTCAGATGGATCAGAAGGGTAGACCGAGCTGTTTCAAATCAAACAAGTTTTAGCAACAAGTAGATCATGTAGAAAGAAGATTTAGTTGTGGTTGACGAACCGGTTCAGGTCTGTCATGTCAATGATGAAAACAATCTTCTTGCCACTCTTGAAGCTCATGAAAAACAGGTGGAGGCCAAGTTTACCTAAGACATAAAACAGCACAAACATTGTATTATCTAGCCATTTAGGTCCTGGTTAGGGCAGCTACACAGAAGTACAGAATTTCATCTGCAAGTGATGACATATTTATGATTCTTATTACTCCCTCGGTTCCCAATTACAGTTCACTTAAGTTTTGTCCTAAGTCAAACCTATGTAACTTTGACCAAGTTTTTATTTTTAGAAAAATATACAAAATTCTACAAGTTCAGTTACAATGAAATTAATTTGATGCTGTATGTTGGTGCATTTTTCTATAAACTTGGTCGAAGTTTAAGAACTTTGACTTAGGAGTTAGGACAAAGATAAAGTGAACTATAATATGGAAAGGAGGGAGTAGATATTAACTCTGGAGCTCTCCTACTAAACTCACTATTGAAAGCACATAAAGTAAATAAGCCTTCTTCAATTTCATCACTGAAACTCTCCCTCTCCCTCTCCCTCTGTTTTTCAGATGTACATTCATCTACAAAAACATGGATAAATCACCATTTTCTGCATCTGGAGAGAGTAGTTTTACTGGACAGCAAATGCACAGCATCCACCTACCCTCAAGTAACAACAGTTTATGCATTTTTAAAACAAAACATTTATGATATCATATTTAGACAAAAAGACACTAGTACTTGAAGATAAAAAGGTAGAAGAGATAGAGAGCATACATGTCTGGGACTCCAAAACAAAAGCAGCGGAGGTAAGATTTAGTAACTCGAATTTAGATAACTTGATTTCTTCTAAAACATCAATAAGATTTCCAAGAAGCAAGCTTGTTTCCTCCACAAAATGAAAAATGCATGTTAGTAAACAGGACTCTTCTATGGCCTTCCAATACATGACAGCGATTTTGAAGAAAAAGGGGTTTGGTATAACCATGCTCAAACAAAGAAAAATGATTACTGATGTGGTGCACTATTACTATATATAGCATGCAATAAAGGGCGTGATGTTCATAGATGTTCACATCATACAAGGAAGGTGCCCTTCATGGCATTTGATATCAGTAACAGAAAAAAAAATCTTAAAGTGAACAGCTCTAATGGTTGCACGGCAAAAATTCCAAACTCAGGTAAACTCACCATTGTCTTCTGCTGCAAGGATTGTAAATCACTAACTCTCTGGTTCTCCTCGGCTTTGAAAACAAAATTGAATGCCAAAGATGCATCCAAGTTTGGAAATGTCTGACCAAGAATTAAAAAGTGTCATGACTCATGAATTGATTACATACAGAAGAACGAAAAGAGTTTGGTCATCTCACCTGTCCAATTAGGTTTACATTCAGTGAATTATTCACAAATATGCTAGATGTATCACTGATGTTTAAGATGATCCTGTTGAAGGAACGGTCGGAAACAAAATAAGGCACTTCAAATAACAAAGCAAAGTGTATTAATTTGTTGCCTTGTTACATAAAAGATTGCAACTTCTCAAGTCAAAGCAACTTCACTGGAATCAGACAAAACCACCTAGTTTCTTATTAGAAATTTGCAACTGAGATTCTGGGACAGTTAAAACCAGCAATTTGTTTAAAACAAAAAACCAATGATGTAGCAGTTTCCATTCTAAAGTAGGTAGTAGAACCATGGTTGCTATAACATGGAAAAAAATAATATATAATTCTGAGAATGATTACCTTTGGAACAACAAATTGTGATAGTTGAGGATGACATCACGCTTATTGTCCCTTTTAACTATGTCATTCAGCTTGCAGAGCTGAATAAATAAAAGAAATGTAAGTTGGATAGAGAGAGATCTACAGATAGAAAAAAAAATGAACAGGAGATTTAACATTAAGCCATACACCAATACCCCTGCTAGCCGGTGGATGATGCGATGCTGGTTTCTCATCATCAACTGCTCTTTAGCATACCTCACAACACTATCACTACCAATGTCACCTTCAATATTGTCAAAACATTCAAGGGAACTCCTTAATTTCTCCACCTTCTGTTGAATATTTTTTAGTTCAAGCCTCTTTTCAGAAATGATGGCAAGTTCTTCCTGGGTAAACACAAGAAGTATAATTCACCGCAAAAATATTTTATGCAACTGAACAAGTTTCTGCTTAAATTTCAAAGGGATGCAAATTTCTCTACTTCATTTTACCAAATGCAAACTTAGGTGACAACAGAAGGAACAGAATTTACCCAAAATAAAGGAATGAAGAATGAAAGTAATGGAAAAAGGATAGTTGTAAGAACATAAGCAACATACGCTATAGAAGCAGTAGTAACCACAAGAATGACTATGCAGTCAAGAATAAATAGATCAAAACCATGGCACCTAAAAGGTATTTACATGATCAGATCCATTGCTTAGTTGTCTGCATTCTAGCTACAGATACAAGCTTGACGAATCAAAATAAATGAGGCAATTTGGATTGTGATATGCATTCGCTATAAAAAAAAGCAGAAAATCCTGTATTAAATCTTTACCTGTCTATCACTGGCACTGACTGAAGTAGCTGCAGGAAGTGAAGCATCCTTCATTTGTGCAGCGCCCAAAATCTTAGATTTCAGAAAGCAGCACTCTTGAATTCTATCTTGACATAGCTGAGCCTTTTTCTGTACCAAAATGGAAAGGAAAGGAGGAAACTAGCATCTGCCTGCAACTTACAGGCCATAAAGGGGCTTTTTAAAATAAAAGAAAAGATGATTTAATTCCTACTTGGAGTTTAACTAGCTTCATATTATTTATTTGTAGCTTCGCCTTTTCATAGAAAAGCTTGTCATGGAGAAATCTTGCCTCCTCTAATCTGGATAAGTAAGTAGAGTTACATATAGATTTCATCAAAGCGGACACCAATTAATGAAACACGCAAATTAATAATTAAGTACCTCTTTTGCTTATCACCACACCAATCTTTAATCCTCTGGGTACAAAGAACAAACATGTCACCTAGATAAACGGGAAACTCCAAATAGGAAAAAAACAACATGTCGTTGCTAAAATTAACAGCTAAAAGATGATAACATACCACAGCAGCAGCAAGCCTTTTATATTTTTTAGCCATATGAATCTCATCCAACTTATCGCTTAGCATATCAAGCTTCATCCAAAAGGCAACAGAAAACAACATTAAGTAAAGTGCTAAATCATCAGATTAAATTTATTATATGTGCTATGCTGTATGAGAAAAAATAACTAATTTTCATAACAGAGAAATTCATGGAATACGTCTAGAAAACTGTAGATTCTGAACATCAGTCAGCAACTATAATTATAGTTTCTGACAGGCTACCATCCGACTAGTCTCCACAAGTGTGCGACAGCAGAAACCTTAGGGTTCAGGAACGAAACCTAAACTCGTGATACCACATACTCCCTCCGTTCCAAATTATAAGTTGCTTTGACTTTTTTGGTTCATCCATTTTGCAATGTATCTAGACAAATATTATATCTAGATGCATAGAAAAATGGATGTACCAAAAAAGTCAAAGCGACTTATAATTTGGAACGGGGGAATAGCAGATTGGGTATAATGTGTGAGATAGATTGCATCGAGCCTCTCGGGTGATCTAGTTGTCTCCCCAGATACATATGGTATGGCAATATTGGATTACAATCCTAAACTACAAAATATACTCTAACACTTATGATTTGCATCATTACTATTACAAGCCTTTTTCATCCCCAAGCCATCAAAATATAAACGCCCCCTGCCCCAACCCAACAAGGGGAAAAAAAGAAAAATAAAAAAGACAAGAAAACATTGGTGAAAGTAGCATCATGAATACTTGGCAATGATGGATAAGTCTCATGTGTGGTCTTTGTGGGGCTGTACTGCTCACATGGTCCTTGTGGCTGTTTTTCTGCTTTTAGGACAGCATCTTAGACTAGAGGACAGCAGGACAGCATCTTAGAGGACAGCATCTTAGACTAGAGGACAGCATCTTAGCTAGGACAGCATATTAGCATCTTAGACTAGCATCTTAGACTAGCATCTTGGCATATGCTTGGCTGGCTAGCAGCCTATAAATATGTAACCCTAACCCCTCAGGTTGGCATGGCATTTGTGTGAGTTTGTGTGAGAAATAGACAAGAAAATTGCCCCAACTCCTAGTGTCATCCTCTCTCGATGAGAGTAAGAATTCTTCTACTACCAAGAGTGAGAATTCAGCGATTAACAGGTAACACTAAACAAAGTATAAAAATATTATTTATATAACTATGCTTATGTAGTCTATATTATCAAAAAAAAATGAATTTTTCGGAGCATATTTCTCAAAGGCTCAAAGCTACATAACATTTGTTCATTTCATATGATAGCCAAACTAAACTTGTTAGCTAACACTGTTAGTTTAAATGTCAATGACATATTGGGCCTAGACATATATGACACGGTTCATCTGTGAGCTGCAACTGTCTTACATGTGGACCCAGTATGTCAGTTCACATCTAAATCAATGTTGTTATTCTAGTTACAAAGCATAGTTCATGGTAATATGGACACACGTGTGGTTTTGGATATGGGTTAAGCATAAAATTATCTTTACAGTAACTTAGGGCTAGTCATGTAGTTCGCTGAAATTTAGTCATTATTTTAGTTCATCTAACAAAGAAAACAACTTCAAATAATCAGCTGACACAATATGATATTAGCTATCGGAAACAATACAATTCAATGTAATGCAAACGCTTCAACAGGACAACTGTTGAAGTACATTTTTCAAACTAGACCGCTCTGAGCAAAGGATTTTTTTTCTAAAATAAAGTATGTTACTTTACTACTGACAGCGGAAAAAGTGTACCTGTTGTAGATTATACTTGCTTATTGATGCTGACAAAACTTGCTCCGTGGCATTAGTTAGGGTACATACTACCTATACAAAAGAGAGAATTCCTGATCATCATTTTACAGAAACTAATCATTTCACTGAAAAAAAATTGTATACAGAAATGAATACATAGTTTAAACTGGTTACTTTTACCTTGTTCCAATCAATATCCACAGACTTTCCATTATCATGAGCACCATTCTGTTTTTCTTCAATCATAGGAGAAGGCTGAGATACACAAGGAATCTCTTTTCTTGATTTTCTAGGGCTTCTTGCTGTCTTAGCGGTTTCTTCAGGACATTCTTGCACAGCATGACCATTTTCCTCAGCAGTTCTCTTTCTTCCAACAACATCTAAATCCAGATGAGAGTTGCATTCACGACTAGGTTGGCTATCCAAAGTAAGGGCATGAGATGAGGTATCTGGGACCTTAGTGGACTCATTTAGCCCATGTCTTCGAGGAGTGCCTAGGATAAAAGACTCACTGGTTTTCTTCAGCTTTGGAACCGAATGAGAAGAAACAGATAAGGTGGAATCATGATCTTCAGTATTGCTGAACATGTCACTTGCACGATGACCAAGTTCATTCTTCTCGACCAATTGTAACCGGGACGCTGCAGGCAATTCTTGAAGCTTCAGAGAAGAAATTCTCTTGTCATGTCCAACAAACCCAGTACCCAAAGATCCTTGTGGAACTTGCAACTGCAGACCTGCAGTTCTTGGAGTGTGTAGAACTGTTTCTGTATCCATCACTTCATTTTGCTGTCGCAGCTGCTCAGCATCCATCAGCAAAATGGCAGTAGCTGCACTTGACGACTGGGCAGCATCTGTGTTATCCTTACCAGCTGGTTGATCCAAAAGATGGGTTTCCATGTCAACATTACACATGGAGGAAACACTTGTAGTGCAATTTGATCCAGATGGTTGATCTTTTGACAAAGATTGATTGACGAGGTGGGATTGCACGTCACCATTACTCGTGAATGATTTATATGCTGGGGAAATCTTTGCAGGAGGTTCTGCAGTACTATTGGCACCAGGGTCAACATCATGGTTGCAGTTCTGCAAAATAGTTCAATTACAAACACAGATAAGAATCAAAGCAATGGATGTTAAATAAACCAACTAACCAAATGATAGTACAATGACAAACAAGAATAGGGAAATGCAGTTCTGGTTCAGGCTGCTGAATACAGTGGGCCTTCAGAACCTTTCGCCCCAACCGGGAGATTTTTCCTTTTGATGATTGGTGGGCTAGAGCTGCTGCTGTGGTGGACGGGCAGGTTGGGCAAGGTCTTAATTCCATCATCACCATCCTCGGAGACTGGTCTATATGGAACCACCAGAACCGATGTGTCTTTCATGGGGCTTCACACCTTCACCAAATCTTGCAAGCACTCTGGCTCCATCCACCAAAGAAATAAGATTGGGGAGTGTAGTGGGTGCCAAAGGAATTTCCTTCCTAGCTGCCTTGAAGCGGGAGGCTAGCTAGTATTGACTAGGTATTTTTCTATGTGCGGGTTGTGAAATTTCTATGTTTTTCCAAAGGCGCAAATGTTTTGAATAGCTCCTGGACATGAGTGTGTTGGTGTCTTGTTTTGGACTTCTACCCCTTTACTCTCTTATTAAAATAAATATATGCAGCTCTTCTACATGTTCAAGAAAAAAAAAGCTAGACGCATAGACAACCAAAGTTCAGCTAGGCGCTAGGCGGAATCTAGGCGTTGACCCATTGCCTAGCGCCTAGTCGGGAGTACTCGGTCCTAGGCGCTCCTAGGCATTTTCCTAGGCGTTTTGGCAATATAGCCATAAATTATATATATATTATGTATATAACTATATATATGTATATAACTACTATATATGAGTCACGGTAAGTATAAAAAGAGGGCAGCTCAGAGCAGTATATAGATTTTTTTTTTTGAGCAAACTCAGAGCAAAGATATAGATAATAATAAAGAAAAAGGAAAGGAAAAAAGAAAAAGAAAGGAGGAGTAAGAAGTGGTCTGCCCCCACCCACGCACCAAGCAGCCCATGTGCCCCTCACCCTCGTAGCCTAGCGTCTTCATCTCTCTCTCAAGATCGCCGCCACCAAGCAACTCTCACTTCCGCCTCCGCCCATCTCTCTGCCTCTTCCCTCCCGTTCGCCTAGCGCCGCGATGCGCGACTATGCCCCTAGTCGCGGCGACGGGCTTCGCCCAGCGACTAGGCGCGCGTAGTCGCCGAGTAGTCGCCGCCTAGCCGAACTTTGTAGACAACTGTGTTTGACTACAGCTATCAAGAACGTTAGTGCCTCCTATACTAGTTTCTCTAGGATCCTTCCAACATCTAGGTTTAGATATATGAGAAAGTGTTTAGGTGCTGCAGTTAATTGCAGGTTCTAATGTATAGCGAAAACACATCAAAGAGTTTGATACCAAATTAATATAATTGACAATATAATACATGAGCTGCTTGGCTCAAACAAACATGTAAAAGAAAAGGATCAATACCTAACCTGTGAATTCTCATGGCCATCAATTATCATTTCATTATCTTCTTGAATCAGATCTGTGCTGGTCGAAACTGGATTTCTCATAGAAGTGTGCTCTACAATCGTATTAACCATGCCCAGCTTATCAGAAGATATACCATTGTCAATGCATAAATTTTCTTCCCTACTTTCTTTCTCAGATGTAGACAAGGTTAAAACACAATCAGGAGCTACATCAGAAACACCAACTTTAGGAGAGTTTGCTTGCTGGATCCTTTTTATCTTCTTCATCATACTGCTCAACGTGGGTGACAGCTTATCATAATCATAAGTTCTGGGGTTACCACTCAACAAACTCATGTCAGTCAACATATCCCGACCATTGATTGATGTTGTTGCAGGATTAGATGCAGTAAGTTCCTTCAGGGGTCCCTCAGATGCAGTATTAGGTGTCATTAGGCTCGCAGCTGAGTTGGCTGTACAGTCATCTGGTGGAGCAATATTGCGAAAATGCAAAGAGAACGTCCTGGAATCCATAGTTATATCATGGTTGTCATCCTCTGACATTCCAGAATCCGATGGTCTTCCTGTTTGAATGAAGCTTGCCGATACAGGTCCAAAGAAGTTTTCATCTGTCATAGGACTGGGCATAGTGAGAAGACAGGATGTTTTCCACAAAGTAATATGGCATTATGGTTAGCATATATAACTAATATAAAAGAATAGAAGGGTCACACACTCACACTAGAAGCATGGACACACAAAAGCAAGACACCCCATGCCATATAGTGATGTTTTACTTTCTAATTTCTAAATCCGAAAGAAAAAAGGGAATCCACAAGCAACTTCAAATCCATTGACGGTGCTTTGTTTTAAAGATTTTACTCAGCAAACAATACAAGAATGACTGCTAGCTTAATGTATCGTGTAATCAATACGCCATCTACACCTTAGATCTCTATATTCACAATTCAGCAGTCAGCACAATAAATTTGCCTACTGTATCAAAAGTATGGCACAGCACATCTAACATCTGGATCCAACACAAAGAGAAGTATGGAACCTCTGAGCAGCGAAGCTGACATAATTCAGGTGACAAATGCAACAGCCTGAGCATCAGAAATAAGCTCCAGCGTACAGAAAGTAAAATTCCCCATTAACTGTAGGAAGCAGATTATGTGGGAGTCGTGACAAAATCAACCATCCAATTCACGAATATTTTTCATTTCGAAACAAACAAAGGACCTCACCATCGGCGGAGGCCATGGATCCGGCGGCGCTGCCTGGGGACGACGAGTCGACGTCCTGGAGGAAGATAACCGGGGGCCGGTGGAAACCCTCCTCCGTGTCGTCCTCATCCTCCCGGCCAGCCGAGGACCCCCTGGGAGAGGGTGAGGGGGAGGTGGAGCCGGGCTCGCGCTCCTCGGGGGGCGTCTCGAAGTCCTCGTCGCGGTCGAACACGTGCACCGCGGTGGTGTCCGCGAAGCTCACACGGCGGGAGCGCCTCGGCGCAAACTTGTCATCCCCCGTCCCCGGCGACGATGCGATGCCGCCGCTGCCGCCGATGTCCATGGAGACGGGGCACTGAGAAGCAGAGCTAGGGTTTGGCGTTCAAATTTTGGGGGAGAAAGCGACTTGCACTACGGCAGCGTCGAGTGTTTCTGGAGGACCCGCTCGTTTGAAGACGCCATTTGCCTGCTCCGTTTGTACGCGAGTGGGACCGCAGCTTCCGTCCGTTGGGGAGTAGTGTGGGCAGTGGGCTGCTGGTGGTGGCTGGCCGAGCGGGAGGGTCTGGGGGAGGCCGGCTGGGTTAAGTGCCCTTTTCTCTCTCTCTCTCTCTCTTTCTTTTCTTGAAACTACAGGACCAAAAACAGGAGCAAGTTCTTCCCTCTCCTCTTCAGTGGTGGACTCAGGATTTGAAATAAGGTATTCCTATTTCCTAGTCAAATTTTTTTGTCCCATGCTTGTCGCCAAAACTTTTATATCTAATACGGTAAAATCTAAAAAAAAAGTTCAGTGTGCATGGCTATAAAATAACCAAACCAAGGCTCAATTTCAGAAGTAATGCTATTTTTTGCATCATGCTTCTAAAAACTGCAATATTTGATTTCTTCGTGCCTCAATTTTATGGAAAACAACAATAAATTTCAATCAATTCTAGGCTCACAGATCCACACTCCCTAAGCCCAATTGGCCAATTTACGGTCCAATCTCTATTCTCTATTCTCCAATGTCCAAATCCTAAAGTTCAGAAGTAAACACAAGCACTCATGTCAAGACTCTGGAAGGATCTGACAATAATCTGGGATAAAATAGAGATATTTTTTGGGATAAGTTGGGAGGGGAAGAGGAGAGGAGTTTATGCTACGAGAGAGATAGAGCAATTTTTTTCCTCAGTTCTTTTCACCTGACGCACCGGGCCTGCTAACATCCCTGATGTCATTTTTGTGTTGTGCAAAGTCACCATTTCAATGCTAAATTGAAATGATCAACTGAACTAAATTGAAATGTACCAAAATATATGTAGCTTTGTCCTCTGTTCTAGTTTGTAGGCCCTCTTTTTGTCTGCTTATACCTATCAGGCTATCACCATAAGTTTGCTGCTATCAGCTAGCCTAGAATGAAGTCAATGTGTAGTGTTTTAAGCATAGTCAAGATCAACGGGAATGGAAAACTTAGTAGATCTTGCTTGTACCTATTAACTTTTGTCGGTATCAATGGATACGAAAACTCGTGCTAGGAGCTAATTTAATGACTGTTGTGCACTTTTCTTAAGAAATATGTTTTCTATGCTCATTTTTTGAAGTTTTTGCATGTTCAACAATGCAGCCACTTTGGTTTTAAAGTTTGTCGACAACTTTATTTTGCGGGAACATTTACGTTCCCATAGTAGAAAACTTTATAAACTATCACTTTGCGTTCCCGTTTCCTTCTGGGAACATAGCTGCTATGGATATAGCCATCCTAGAGGTGATAAGTAGTATCCATGTGATCAGGACAATGTTGGTATGGGACTTAGCAGCCATTTTCCCTAAACGACTAGGATGAGAAACGTGATATGACTTCAATAAGACTTCTGCACTATGATGCTCAGAACATGGAACAACATTCTTGGAACATGGAATGGTGTTCCGAGAACGTGGAACTTGTCTACGTTCCCAAATGGTAAGGTTTTGGACCTAGGACTTAATAGACAACCACCTAATGACAATTCAGCTACATCTGGATTTAGTCCTCATCCGTGATGTAACTTTGTTAACTTGTGTCGGGCTAATTACACCAGGGTAGATTGATACTTCTGCTTTTCACAACTTTAGCTGACCGAGACATATTGTGGGAAATCTTAACCTTCATTACAACGTACGAGCATTCACCTATCTTCTAATTGTTGTGGCATTATTGTGGTGATATTTTTAATTTTTTTAGACCCCTTTGGCAACGCACGGGCATCTGCTAGTCTCCATAAAAGATTGTACATCTCAATAACCTAATTTTTATGATCCCACCATGGATCTCGCATACTCACTCCCCTATGTGCCCTCATCCTCTTAGATCCTGCACTCACTTTTCCCACCTCTCCGGTCCTTTGTCCTCTCCTTATGCTCATACTTCTCTTTCACCACACTGTTGGGTGTCCATATCCCATTCGCTCCACGCCACCAACGCCCTCCTCACGCTTATTCGTCCTTAATTGATGCAAGACGATGCAAGCAGCTAAGGGCACCATCAATGGAGGCTAATACTCTTAGTGGTTCGAGTACAAATAAAGTGGTCCACATAGACTAGGAATGTTGAGATTGCTATTCACACAATGCAAGCTATCACTACTTGTGGTTTGCAAAGAAACTTTTTTCCTTTCATCATGCCTCACATTTATTTCCTCTCCCTCTTCTTTTTTAGCATGCCCACCTTCTCTCTCGCCAAGCATATGTAGCTTCTACAAGCCAATATGACAAATGCAGAGCACTGGTTTTTTTTATTCAATCCTACATGGCTCTTGGGGCTACTAGTAAAAAAGTAGCATTGGGGAAGGCCTAATGTTAGTTGGACTCAGGTGGACCCAATAAAGGTGCCCTAAAGGTAGCCTCTATGCAGGCAGCTAACGTTAGAGTAGGCCCAACGCAGGCTAACAAGCTTGTTGGTTTGAGTCTAAAGTAGTTATACAGCTAGACATGGAAAGGCTAGAACTCCTAGACTCTCAATGTAGACCACTCCACCACCTGCTAAATATCAGTACATGGCCCACTTGCTTTCTTCTCTCTCCAGCGTTACTTTCTGTCACATGCATGGGAAGATGTTGTGCAGGCTACCCACAGGCCACAACGCGCTCTCCCTCGCTGCCCTACAGCTATTGTCAGATGAAGCTATTGCTTCTTCAGCAGGACACACTAACACCCCGTGGAGCTATAGTTTGCGATGACATGGAAAACTGATATAGATGTGGACTTTGGGGCAGCACTCCATGCTGGTGCATTGGGAAAGCCCTTAGTTGCCTCAGTCAAAAATTAGCTGTCATGTAGATAAAAAATGGTTGAACCATCGCTTATTGCTGATCTCACACATCTCGCTACACCCAGATACTCGCTGGCTCGCCTGCATTTGCTCTCTCACAATCAGACTCGGCTTCGGTTCCGAAAATAGTGGCTCGCACCTTTTGTCAGTTGAAGCATTCGCACCCTATGCTCTAACATGCTGCGGAGCCACTATTCAAGATGACATGGATGATTAGTGCAGAGATGGAGGCCGGGACTATAAGCCACGGTGACATGTTGGAGAACGCCTAAGAGACAACTGAAGAGGAAAAAGAGAGAAGATTCTAGGGTCCGTGGACGACTTTCGGGACCTGCGGACAACAGTTGTCCCGTCGCCAACAGTGTAAAAGAATGGCATAATCCCATCCCTCTTGATCCCACCAGCCAAAGAAATTTGGATGAACTTATCACCTCAACCAAACACAAAAATACTCGTATAACGATCCCATAAAAAAACAAGATCATTGCACCCCACCTTGTCCCTGAACATAACACATGCTAAGATGATACTTTCAGACCATTTTCAGTGGTACATTTGTTGCGATTTCAAGAAACCGAACAGCAAAAACAAAAGGGATCAAATAAGTAAAATCTTACTTCAAATCTACACCCGCGAAGATGCCATTGCCGCTCAGTTTAATAAAGACAGTAAAAATTAGTCTCGATCCTCAAGGGTGCTGATTGGTTAGATGGTGTAGAAGCTAGTACATGATTGCATATGGTACCCACCATGATAATTCGCTACAGGATACCCAGCAATCAAAATGTGTCAGCCAAGCGAAACAGGTACGGGCAAATGCCAGCATATAGAGGTGCGACTGGAACTCCAGAAGTCCCATCTGCAGCTAGTGTATAAAGAAGCTGAGGCATTTGTATCTTCTCAGGTGTGCACCTCATCTCGCTTTTGGACTACATCATTTGCAAGTGGATATCAGCAGCCTGTTGAGCCAGCTCATTCATCATGGCCTCGTCGAAGAATTTATTGATGCTCACATCTTCACTCATGCCCTGCAAATGTGATGGTGCATACAGTTAGCACTGTGGCTAGTCTAACACTGATAAGGAATTTTACTGTATGATAAGAGTTAAGAGCGAGCAAATTATATGGTTGCTCATAAATCAACTATGATAAAAGTTAAGAATGGCCCTGTTTGGATCCATGGGTTAGAGCTAGTTTGAGCTAGTCTAACACTGATAAAACAGAGGGCTAGAGAATTTTACTGTAAAAAACTATCCCCCAAAGAGGTGATTTGGGTTAAGAGTTAACCCGCACTCAGATTTGAAAGCAATTATCATTTTAACCATTGCTCAGGCTAGAGTTAGTTCAGGGCTAGTCCTGAAAACTAACTCTAACCTATGATAAAAGAGTTAAGAATATATATGGTTGCCATAATAAATCAACTATATCCCTTACCTTCCTTCGCCTGGTCTTTACCATGAACTCACGGGCAAGGTGCTGTATAGGTGCTGGCTCCAGGGGGCGAAGGACAATACTCTTATCTAAGGGGTCACCAGGAACAATAGCCCAGTGATCGAATACTGACAGACAAAAGGCTTGTCCCTGGGTATGGTATCTGAGATCTGTCTCAAATCCAAAAGACTCTATAACAGGTAAAAATGCCTGGAAAACAAAGAAACAATACCATTAGTCAAAAACAAATAGTACCATCGGTAAGTAGATTGGTTCACTGGCATGCTATTATCACAAAGGTTTTCCAGAAGGAAGACAAAGGGTGCATATAGATCACTGTGTTCCTTACCTTAACAATGTATATTGGAGTGCCTGGCTTGGGTACATCAGCTGTTACGTGACCACGCCGCCGGGATAGCACCGTATAAATTGCAGAGACACAGTCAATTGGTGTTTGGATCTGCCGAGTGCACACATAAGATCCTCACTCATCAAACATGGCAGCAAAATAGAAACCAGATAGCATTGAAATATGTGCATGTATTCGCATCCTTGTACATAGAGAAGCACTAGGACTAACCTCAACATAATACACAGGTTCCATAAGGCGAGGATTAGCCATAAGGAATGCAGAGTAGACAACACGACGTGCTGTGGGAATTATCTGACCACCACCACGGTGCAATGGTTCTGGAGCTATGTTTGCATTTAAGATCTTGAATTTCACATTCCTAATTGGTTCATCACACAAAGGACCTTCTCTAGCACCCCACTGGAACCTATGTAAAGGTTGATAAATAAACTGGTTAAAAAAAAGGCAGTGTGGATTCCAATTGGACTTAATTAACTGAAGAGTGCAGAGCCCTACCCTTGAACAATTGAATCTTTGACCGCATTGAGCAGGTTCTTGTCAACCTCAATTGAAAGTGTGTCATCCAGAAGAATGTTAGGACCCTGCATGTCAAGTAAGATGTATTCAGGTATTCAGTAGATGGAAATACAACTGATGGAAAAATAGTGTTAATCAAATGAAAAGGCTGATGAATTGTCAGATAATTCATGTAATAGGAACAAATCAAAGTCAACTGCAAAAACGAGCACTGAGATTGACTGTGGGTCAGAAACACAGTGGGTTCATTGATCTCCAGAAACGGTGAAAAGGAATAAAGAATAACCAAGGTTGCAAGACAGATCAGTCAGCAGTTTATGGCATATTACCTGCTTGTCAGGTCCAAAAGCCCATATTGACCTTGCTGCAAGCACATCCCACTGGTAGCGTTGGCGAAAGAAGTCAGTAATTTCTTTCTGTCTTGAATCCAGGCTAACAAGACCATTCTCAATATCTTCTGCTAAGCCCTTCTCTAATGGTTCAGCAAGCTGCGTCATGCCATAAAGACAAAAGGTTCAATAACATATCAGTTGCTTGCATTTACAAATAAAGATCAGCATGGGAAATGTCAAAAGCAAATACAAAGAGTGCACTCAAGAAAAGCTTACCATAGTAATTTTGTTCCTCTTGTTAGGTGTTTCAGCAAAACATTTCATAGAAGAAGTATCAACAACTGTTTCACAAAATGTAACAACAGGATCTGCTACCTGCATGCCAAAAGGTAACAAAGCAAATCAATTTGGTCCACCCTAAAAATCAATTTAGTTCAACACACACACACACACACAAAAAAAAAAAAAAGCAAAACTAGTGCATCATCCGTACCTTCACCTCAACCTCTGAATAAAGCTCTCTGAGGTCCTTCATTATGGAATCCAGATATAGTTCACCAGTCCCCAGGATAGTGTGCTCTCCAGACTCTTCAACCTTGGTAATAGCAAGAGGATAACTCTTGCTAATTTTACGAAGACCTTCGACCATTTTAGGAAGCTCACTTGGGTTGAGAGGCTCAGCTGCTATCTTTACAACGGGCAAGGTGTTGAAACGTAGAGGTCTAAATATGTACACATCTTCATCAATATTCATAGGACATATAGTAGCAGTTTTCATTATTGATGCATCTACACCTTCAATAAGAACCCAAGAGCCAGCAGGGGGCTTTACTAATTGCAACACGGTATCGTGCCTGATAAACCCACAATTTGGTCACCTCTTTGACAGTCATATCCTCTTCATCATCTGGAGAATAGCCTTCTCCAAGGACCCTCACAGTCTGTCCAGTCTGTATCGTGCCACTATAAACTCGTCCAAGGCATCAAAGACGCTGCAATCAGACTTTGGATATAGTTTTGTTACGTTAACCATAAGGGGTCCATTGGGATCACATTTTTTCATAGCATCCACAATAGAGGAATCTTGTGGTCCAGTGTATATGTGGTCTATCTTCCTTGCAGCAGCATCCTTCACTGAGGGGATATGTTTCACTAACATGTCGGTAAAACCAGTAGCAGTGCCAAAAATTGAGCGGCAAGCTAACCTCAGCAAAGGTCTAACATTAAGCTTATAAGCTGCATTGCTCAGCGTGACACCCAATTCAGCAAGCTTTGATTCCACATTCCCCTTTTGCTCACCAACAACCAGACTATAAATTTTGTACAGAGGCTCAAGGATAAACTCAACAAATGATCTGTTAGCTCCTTCCTTTGGCGGCTTCTTTTTAAAGGTTCTAGAATCAGGGTGAAAATACAGGTCTCCCCATAGGCGAGATGCAAATTTCTCATGGTCAAATTGAATCCCATGAATCTTCAAGTAAAGATGGGCAAAAGATTGTAAGGTAAAAGACCAGCCAGCAGCACCACTTGCAAAACATACGTTTCCAGCAGCAGGATCCACCAGCTGAGTGCCACCTACTGTAGTTGAACACGATGAGATAAGATCATTAATTGCCTCTAGAGTATGCCGCAGCTTGAAATATGCATCATTTGGGGGCAGCTTTAGTTCTGTTATCAATCTGTCAACCTGTAATAGCACACAGTAAGCATAAACTTCGATTTCATGTTTCTACTGGAACATAATAGAAAAGGGGCAGCAAAAATGTACCTTGTTAATCACAACAACGATGGGAAGCCTTTCTTGGATTGCATGACGAATTGCCCTCTCAGTATTAACCTAATAACCAATGGGGGTAAATAAAGAACATAATACTTTACACTTCCATATATAAGAAAATAAAAGATACTCTAGCTGTCTAGCATGCATGTAGACCAAAAGTACAAAAAACCCGCATAATTTCTAAAAATGCGAAACTTGCAATTTTCTGTACAACAAAATCATTTATTCATGTTATCTGGGTACTTAAAATTCTGGGAGTGTTGATTCACATGTGGTTACTTTACTCTTGCCCATAATGGCTGAAAACCTACCCGGTCAACCTAAAAACTCATTTGCTACTATAGGTTCACACGACGTTCCATAAGTCATATCATTACAAATAAGGACATGGCCTTTAATCCAACAGATGTAACCATATGATAATCAACATGCTCAATGCATCAGAATCCTCAAATGCGCTGACATCTTAAACCCAAGCTAAACACAGCTTACCATACAAATCCCAATGTAATGACATCTGCCTAAACTGAGTCCATAAAGGTAGCACATGTGTAAACCTTGCATATGAAGCCAAGTTTGTGAACATCATGAAGCATTAGTACACTGTTCCCAAGCACACAATAAGGTGTACTTAGACAAATCTAGCAAGCAAGGTATCACCATTTACCAATTGGACTCAAAATAGTAAACACAGAGATTAAATTAGTCTAATTGCTATCTGACTTGATCTGTGGGTGAAAACAAAATGCTCTTCCTGGAATATGCCAACAGCTGAGACCTCTATCTTAGTATTTTCAGCAATGTCACCCATTGCTCATTTAGAATGCATGGGTCAGACATCTGGAGAAATTTCTGTGACGCTGAAAGAAAACTTTACTCCCTTCAATCAAAATGGAGGGTGGAGTGCCCTAAGTTGGATGGGATACAATTGGATGGTGACTCTTTGTTGAAGTGAATTAGTTTGACCAGATTGTACTACACACAGATTCATCTCCTCATGATCCAATATTTTCTCTAAAATGTGCATTAAGACTAGTAATTTCAGCAAAGTGCATCATTATAGCAGAAAGATGACTACGAAAAACAAAAGGTCAATGCATTACCATTACTCCCTCGGCAGCATCAACAACGAGCACAGCCCCATCCGCAAGCCGCAGTGCCGCAGTCATCTCATCGGAGAAGTTGACATGCCCGGGCGTGTCCATGATGTTGCACAGGTATGACTTGCCGTTTCCCCCCTCGAGAACAAGCGACATTGGCACAGCCTTGATGGAGACCTGCCTCTCCTGCTCGTCCACCCTTGTGTCAGTGAACCGCACATGGCGCTCCCCCTCAGAGTCGAAGGTGTCCACTTCGTGTGTCTGCTCTACGAGCATGTCCATGAACACCGTCTTCCCGTGCTGGAGGTGGCCGACGAGGGTGACGTTGCGGACGAGCGCGGGGTTGCCCGCGAGGCCGAGGAGGAAGTCGGTGGACGCGTAGGTAGACGTGGCCGCGGCGCGGGTCCCGACCTCGAACTTCACGACGCGGGGCGGTGCGATGATGGGCATCTCGAGCGGCTGCTCGTCCTCGTCCATGACGAGCGCCTCCACGCCAGGCCCGTACACCTCCTCGGCGGTGGGGTAGTACTTCTTGTCCTCGGCGAGCACCACAGCCTGCTGGGACGGGTCGCCCTCGTCGTCGTCGACGTCCATGAGCGCGGCCGGGCGGGAGGGGGAGCCCGACGGGGAGCGCGCCGCGGGGGACGGCGAGCCGGACGCGGAGGGGGACGGTGAGGCGCCGCCGGCGTCGGAGTCGTCATCGGCGTCGGAGTCGGCGAGCTCTGGGCCTATGTAGTTGCCGAACTCGTCGTAGAGGCTGTCGTCCATGGCGGCGGCGGCAGCGCTGAGAAGCCCCTAGGGTTTTGGGCGGCGGAGCTGGGAGCGGGTTTGGGATTTGGGAGGAGGGAAGAGCGGAGAGGCGGCACGAAGGGAGTTTTGGGATTTCGGAGGAGGGAAGAGCATTTGGAGAATATGAAATTGCGGCACATCGAAGGAGTGAAATTGATTCAATAGAACGAGTTAATTTCTGCTGGTTCCGAGATTTCGTGGCGTTTTTATTTTCATCCTTCCTCTCGCTATATGGTGCCGAGATATGAGCCCGTCTTTGGCAGCCTGATGATGTGAGAGCCTCATTTGCCGCCTGGCCCTTAGGATGGCCCACCCAAAATCCAAAAAATTTTCAAGATTCTCTCACATCATCAAAGTTTGCCGTGGCGGTAAACAGTCCCACTCCCCCACCACTGTGAACCCGAGTATTAAATGTAGGTAAAAAGACATAACTAATAGCTGACTAACTAGAGATGGTGGTGGTCACGTAATTGGCATGGATGCGACGACAATGGCTTTCATCGGTGAAGCCGCACGTAGGTGCTGACGACGCCGGCCTTAAATAGTCCATAATTGGACAATTTTCACTTCTTGAAATGGTGTCGCCAACTTGAGGAAGCGAAGGAAGAAGATGAGGGCAAACACGTCATTTTCCATAGCTTCTCTCTTCCTAAAGAAATTATATTTTAATGGGAAAAAAATGAATCCAATTTCATAATGGTGCATCTTGGCGGTGTGGGTCCTAACTTAACCATCGCAATGAGCCCAAATTGACACCAATCACCCATCGCAGGTCACACCAATCACCTAGATCTCCCACCTCAGTCCTCAGGCATGCTTTAGCACTATTTTAAATTTAACAACGTGATTCGAGAATCTGCTAGGCCTAATTAACCCAAAATCCCGAATAGATTAGTTCAAAAAATTATGACCGTTGAGGAATCAGACCTTCTTGATGAGTTAGATCTATGAATCTCTAGATTGCTAAGCCAAAAACTTAAGGGGTTGTTTGGGAGGGTTCCTCCTGAGAGGATCCTCCAAAACATCTCTGACTACTCTATTTTTTACTTAAAAAACGGTTTCTCCTACATAACATTTGTAGGGCTCCTCCAGAAGAGCCAAAGCCGGAGCCGAGGAGAAACCCTATCAAACAGAACGGGTTATGCTACAATGAACCCAACCAACCGATGGCATATGTTCTCCCCACTTGATGCGTTCTTAATATTGTTTCAACTTGATTAAATGTGAACTCTAACAGAACATTTTGGATAGATTAAATTTCATTATCTTATGTGGAATCGGAATTCAAGTTTGAGATTGATATATGATTTGATCTAGGCCGGTTCATTTGGTCGTTCATTTTTTTGAGCAAAATTTGGTCGTTCAACATAGCACAAATTTCAAACACTGAAAAAAGAGTGAGCTCCCCCTCCACGAGGTGGGATAGTATTTCCGGCCTTGCGATTTCCACCTACAGGCCCGACTAGGAAACAGACAGGCCCAGACTTGCCCGGCCCTTCGGATAGCCAGACACCAGCGCGGGCTGTCGGCCCTGCTTTTGTGCGCCACGCGCACACCACCCCCGACTCCGTCTTCCTTCTCCGGTCGGGTAAAGCAAAGCAAAGCAACGACTCCGCGTCCGGCTTCCCTTTTCCCCGTAAGAACCCACCGCACGGCGGAGAACACGATCCCCACCGGCCGGCGTAGCGGAGATCGCGAGTTGCGACGGGGAAGGGAGCTCCCTCGATCCCGCGCAGGTATCTGATGTCTGTCAGGCCGATCGCCCGATAAATATTCGACCTAATAGTTGGCCCTTATCCCTTGTGTTTGGTCTTCGCGCAGATTCGTTTCGATCGGGGTCTTGGTGACTTGGTAAGAGGGAGGGGGGAGGGGAGGGGAGAAGCGGCGATGTCAGGCGTGTTCGGCAGGGTGTTCCGGAAGTCCAAGGAGCAGAGCCAGGCCACCGCGCTGGCCTCGCTCGACAAGCTCAACGAGGTGAAACAGATCGGTTGATATCTCTGCCTGTGTTAGATAAAGTTGCTTCGGGGAGTTCGATGTATTTCAGCTATGATGCAGTGATTAAGGCTAGAGGTTAATTAGTTGATGTGTAAATTCTATGCATTCGGATTCGGGTCAGATTAGCTGTAGCTTTTCTATAGTTGGAACCTGTAGCAGTTTCTATTGCAATCGAAACCCAGCTGTGGGCTCACGGAAGTGATGGTGGGCAAGGTATATTACATTAAGAAGATGGCTAGCTTTTCTTACCTCTGTTAGATTTTTAAAAAAGATATGGTTGCTGCTGTCTCCGAGATAAACAGATTGACTCTCTGTGTTATTCAATGTATAGAAGGATTAAATCCAAAAATCCAAACAGCAGATGATTTTGCAAACCTGTTTACTATAAAACCAAATGCCTTCAGTATTCTCTGTTACTTATATAACTTGTAGCGTTTAGTGTCACTTTCACTCTTCCAGAATAAGGACTTTCTTTCATATATCTTCTGTAACTATGTAAAGACTTAAGACTGTTCTTGTAGTCGGAATCTGTAGAACTAACTTTCTTAATATGCTTACAGACACTTGAAATGTTGGAAAAAAAGGAAAACTTGCTAGTGAAAAAGGCCAATCTTGAGGTCGAGAAGGCCAAGAATTTTACCAAAGCCAAGAATAAAAGAGGTACGGTATAGCAGTTTGCCAATTCCAAGAATTTACCCCTCTCTGTGGAGCCCCCTTCTTTTGTGTGTGTGTGGGGGGGGTTGCAATGATGTTGTGTAACCACTTAAATGCAATGATAGTATTATGATTACCATATTGATTTTAATTGTCCCTGTTTTGCATGATTCAGAATTTATCTGTTGTATTCCTAGTTTGCTACTGCTAGTGACGACCTCTGAAGAATGTTCTGCAAGATTTTCAGTGGTCTGCCTTTTTCTGAATATAGATTTTAATTGTCACTGGCATGGAGATGTCTTGCTCGGTGTTCTATTTTCAATCTTTGGTTTCACAATTTTGCATCTATTCCCATTGGATATTGTGTTACTGACGACCTGCACTAGAGGACTCCATTTTTTGTAAACTCCAAACATGTTTCTGTTGAATTCCATCCTACAGTGTTCCTGATTACATCTTGCAATTCCATGGTGTCCTGCTGCTCCTCCTAACTGTAACTATATCAAAGAAAAAACACATGCACGCTTTTTTATTAAGTCGTCGAGGTGCAGATTCTACTCATCAGAGATGATGAGTTTTCTTTCTTCTGTGCTTAATGAGTTTTAATGGTATGAATGACTTAATTGTTAACTTTGAATTCGCATTGTAGCCGCAATACAGTGCTTGAAGAGGAAGAGGCTATACGAGCAGCAGATTGAGCAGATTGGAAATTTCCAGCTCAGGATACATGATCAGGTGGAGGCACAAATAATCTTTTAGTTTGGTTTTCATCTGGGCCTTATCGTGCTTATTAGATTTATCATGGTACTTCACTTACCTTTTCCTTCTATAGATGATTATGCTGGAAGCCGCAAAAGCTACAACAGAGACCGTGGATGCATTGAGAACTGGAGCATCGGCAATGAAAGCTATGCATAAATCAACGTATGTAACATCACACAATACTATGCCTTTAGAATCAATTATCATGCTTTTGAGTTTTTCTTGGATTTTTACAAATGTATCTAACTCATTTATGTCTTCAAGATAATTTGCCAATCGGTTACATCAATCTGAGAAACTTAATCGCCACTCTCTGAACCCTGGATCATCTTATTTTTATTTCAGAGGTTTTCAACTATTGTACTGATTCTTTACTGAAATGATGCAACAAAACTTGTCTAGTGATTTAACTTGCAGATGAAAATAGAAGTTGGACTTGTGATAGAATATACTTGGCAGAAGTCTTAGGAAGAGTTCACACATCAGAAATGATTATGCCCATTTAAACCTTGATAACTTTGTTGATTTTTAGGTTGCATATCTGGAAATGTGATAATATGTGACAGCCTTTTCTATTCCTATCCTTTTCATCGTAACAAACTTCAGTACAATCTAGCATGCATGTTAGATTCATAAGTGGTTTATTCTTGTGTACTTTGGTCTGTAGTATTTTAGCACACACCTATGGTGGCGAGTCTAATATATATCAGAAGCGATCATTTTTACTTCCTGATTTCTGGGTATGCTATATTGTTTTTTCTTTATTGAAAGAAAAATCATGTTGCTTTAATGCTTTTACAGAAATATTGATGATGTTGATAAAACCATGGATGAAATCAATGACAATACGGAGAACATGAGACAAATTCAGGATCTGTTGTCAGCGCCTATGGGAGCAGCAGCTGATTTTGATGAGGTCTCTCTCTCTCCCTCCCTCCATCCCTCCCTCCCTACCTACCTATGGGCACACATGCGTGTTTTTGCTTAACCTTTTCTGTTTTGAATAGGATGAACTGGAAGCTGAACTTGCGGATCTGGAGGGGGAGGAGTTGGAGGCAGAGCTGCTTGCACCTACCACAACAGCTCCGTCCACAGCTCCAGTGCGTGTACCTACTGCTCAGCAGTCCACTAGGCCATCTGCCCAGAGTAGCAAAGCTGAAGATGACGAGCTGGCAGCTCTACAAGCAGAAATGGCTATGTAATTATAGGTACTTCTCCATCTTTTGATCTGAGTCAGGTCCATAGTGTTGTTTCACTCTTTAGGAATTAGTAGTTTAACAACGAAACAGCTCACAAGTAGCTCAAGGTGTCAAATCCCCATGACATAAATTATTTTACAGATTACTAAAATCTGCAATGGTTAGTTTCGTCATCGCCATAGGCTGTGTGGCCCCAATCAGTCATCATTAGAAGACTTATACATTGTATATTACAGGCATTGGCATGGTCGTCTTGGATTCAGATTCTGTGGATATCTCGGAACTCTGGTATAGTCATGAGGATCGTCCTAGGAAGACCGTCAGAATTCAGAACCACAAATACAAGCTGCATACCAGCCTAACTACTTATGTATCACAGCATGATATGTTAGTGTTTTGTAATGAAATATTTCAGATGGGCTAATAAACATATTTCTATCTATCCCTAATAATAAAGAGGTAAAATTTCTGCCATACTTTTTTTCTGCCTCTCCTTATTGATCTGGTCACGGTCTCGATCTCCACGACTTCCTTCGTTGTTGATCTGGGATCCGCTTCCTCGCACGGGTTCCTAGAAGATCGCGCAGTCTGCCTACGCACCGGCGTTTCACTCGACTGGAAGCTAAGGCCTACGACGCATGAGTCGCGACAGCGCGGGAGGGGTCACCGACGGTGCGGGAGTCGACGGCGCATGGGCCCCGAGGCCAGCTGCGTGCCTGCTTGTCGCCCCTGGACCAGTGAACCTCCGTAAATCACCCCCATCAAACATACCTTGACTCCGCAAGCATTCTTGCTCATCTCCGGCAACTACGACTCCATCGAGCCCTCCAGCGAGGACTAGAGCCGCAGTGCCGGTGGCCCGGTGCTGTATCACAGTCGGGCTGTGAGGCCGCGTCCCTCACGGCAGGCTGCGACCACCGACGCCAACGACCGCGCATCGTCGACATCCGTCATGGACAACAATGACAATGCCTCCATGGTCCGCTCACACCTGCAGCTCAACCATAATGGCTTCGTTCGCTTCACTGAAAAAACGAGCTGAAATACTGTTCCGGCTGATTTGTTGTGAAAGAAAAATATTGTTCGATTGAAAAATAAGTTAAAAAAACAGATTATAAGAGAAGCTCCTCCGGGGGCGAATATCCTGGATCCTGGCGCTACTCGACGATGGCCACGGCTCTAAGTGATCGGATCTACGAACTGGCAAAGCGGCGAAGGGATAAGAAGGTTTTAATTTGCTTTGGTCTTAGCGATGAAGGGATAACACGGTTTTGCTTTGGTCTTTTTTTACCATGTTCTACTTTGACTTGTGCTCGAGGTACTGTTCTGTATGCCATATTAGCACGAAATTACGAATGGCAATACATGGATGATGTTTCTAGAACGGTCAGAAGATTAATTTGGAGGTCAGATCGGCTATAGTCACTAGATTTATGGGCTGGAATGTAATGAAAAATATATTTTTTTTCAATCCTTAACATGTCGGCCACTAAATTCATGTCAATTTTAATCAGAGATTAGAATTATAGATTTTTAGTTATCCTAAAACAAAATCACGGAGCAGGATTTTTATCAGTAACAACACATGGATGATAGAAAAATTAATGTTGTGATATATTTCTGTCTAAATATCTATGTGCTTTGTGATGTATTTTAATATATCGGTAACAACACATGGATAATAGAAAAATTAATGTTGTGATATATTTCAATCTAAATATATATGTGTTTTGTGATGTATTTTAATTCAATAAAGGGTTTAATAGAATATTGACATATTATTATCAATATTAACTTCTAGAATATTGACATATTATTGCCAATATTAACTTCTACTATAGATGCCGTGGTCATATTCACATAAATTATAGATTTCAAATTTTATAGAAAGAATAAAACATAAATAGATATGTATCATTCCGGTCATCATTCCCATTAATGTTAAATAGTCTTTTTTCTCCCGTTACAACGTACGAGCATGTTTGCTAGTCTACTAATAAATTGGGTTATGTCCGTATTATGTTCTTCAGGTTTTGCCATATCCATCTGTTCTAGTGCAATCTAATTGATGATGAAACTCTTTACCTACATGTTCAGTTGTTCCTGATGACGAAGTTGGTGCAGCATCTGGATTTTGAGCGCAGACTTGTGGGCAAACATGAGATACAGTGAAAAGACGGAACCTGTATATTCAGTTGTCTATTTTGTGCTGCAGACGGACAATTGTACTGCATCGTCAAAATTTGGCGTGGGTGAAGGAATTGCTAGTGTTGCTGAAAATCCACCCATGTGTTGTGAAGTTATCACTGTACATTTGTGAAAATGTTGCATCTGGCTGGTTCAGCATCACAATACTGAAATTTGGGGAAATAAATTAACAGAAAAAAAAAATCTCTGATGTAAAGCGCCAAATTCTTGCTTCAGACTCCAATGATATAGGCTTGTAAGGGCAGTTCCACTGGAATAACTAGGATGATATCTATGACATTATTAGAATGCCAAGTAAGCAAAACGATTATATAACTTAGAATTAAGGAAGAGAGAGAGAAAATGATTTCTTATACAATAAACTATATTTATATGAGAAATAAGATAGACGTGTGATAGGTAGATGATAGAAGAGAGAAGACAGTGGATTTATTGAAAAAAGTTTTGTAAAAACAATTCATTAGGAGTTAGCTTTATGGTAGTGTCAAAGTATGACAATTATCCTATAGTTTTTTTTTGGTTGGTACTGCCCTAAACCGCTCGGGTCTCTTTGGATGTTGCTAATTTTAGCAAGCTAACTATTAGCACATGCTAGCAAACTTTCATTTAATAATTTGTGCTAATAGATCTATAGATGGTGACATGGTCTATTAGCATATCTAGTTTGGGTACATCCTTCAAATCTTAGGGCATGTACAACCCACGAGACAACTTGCTTGTACAATAAGTTTTTTTTCACCTCACATACATATGACTTATATAGTGGTCAATCTGTTTAACTAAATTGTTTAATGCTTTAATGTATCTATGATCAAGTATGAATATGATTTTTATATATCCTTGTTGATACAAAACAGTCAAACATAAATAAGATGAAGATGATTACCATATTATATAGAACCATCAATATAAATGATATATTTATGTGTAAATAATAGAACTACTATTCAGTAGATGACTATAGAATAACTTAATATGTGGCCACTTTGAGTTACGATAATTACTATGCTAATTTACAATATTATAGTAACTTTTTACTAAGTGATTTGCTATAACATTACACTAAATATCCCAATGTGTTGTAGTAAAACAACTATCGTAAATATGTATTCACTTATTGTAAATTAGTATAAAAATTATAGTAAATAGAGGTGGCTATAAAATAATTTATTTTGTAGCTGTAATTATATAATTATGTTTCTAAAATCAAATAAAATATAACATGATTACATAAGTTTTGTCTAGCTTTTTTTTGTTTCCGTAGCGCTGGCACTAAATCATAATAGGATTAACTTTTGAGCTTATACGTGGCCTACATTTTTTTAAGTTATAGGGCTAAAGCCCCCGTGTTTCAACTATAGTCAAAAGACGAAAAATCCATTACAGCTTACTGGATGCTTGTCATCCTGAACCATTCACATAAAAGAAAACAGATCCACCTCTCAGAGACAAAAACAAAAAATGTCCACCTCACAAAGACCAGAACACCTAAAGAAACCACATCTCTCATAGACAGGAACAACTAATAATGAAACAAAACAACAATTCCAAACTATTGTTAAAAACCTTCCACCCAAAACTCTGAAGCTGGTGACCACTTCTCGCTGTCGTCTTTTAACTTCGATTGCGCCTCTACTTGGTCTTTCCAAACTTATCAGAACTAAGACATTATCAGGGATGATCTTGAAGCTTTAGTTGCGCAGCCATAAGTCCCTTCTTGCTGAAATCTTGATCTCCTCCATCCAGAGTTTCATAAGCTCTTTCTTTCATGGTGGGCACAAAATTATTCAGTTATGTAGAAACCCAGCTCATAAGCATCTCCATGCTTTTCCAGCCACTTTTCTAAAACACAAAGTTTATTTCTATGTTTCTAAATACTCTAAAGAACTGCAGAGGTAACAATAGTAAGGGTACCATATTTTTAATTTTTTTAGCCAAAACTTTCTTATTGCGTAGCCTACAAAAATATCATGACAGAAACAAAATCATTTTTAACTCCTCAACAAAAGCTTTGCTAGCGGTGAAAATTTTACTGTAGTGTCACCTGATATGAGTAAATTGCCATATTATTGAGCACAAAAAAATTCTACATAAATATAAACTAAAAGTTTCACAAAATAATCTATATTATTAAATAAATTAAATAAATATAAAAAAAAACACATCAGGCTTCGCCCCGCGGCCGGCGGATACCCACTGGCCACTGGCCCACTGCCATGCCTACATCGGCTCACACAGTCACAAAAGCCCCGCATCTCCTTTCTCCCGTCCCGTGCGCTTTTCTCCAGCCTTGCTCCCTCTGGTGCTGTGGGCCCGACATGCAGGCGTGGTTCTCGTCCGGCCCCGGGCCCTCCTCCTCGTCGGCGGCGTCCTCGTCGCAGCCGTCGCTGCTCGCGGAGTGGAACTCCTACGCTGCCGCCCGCTCCGCCGAGGACGCAGGCGATGGCTTCGGGATCGACATCGAGGCGGCCGTCCGCTCCGCCAACGACCGCGTCGCCGGCACCTTCGGCGTGTACGTAAACCCCAGGCTCTTCATCCCCCTCTCTCTTCTCGCCGCTAGGGAAGCGCTCAGTATTCTCCTCCGCCCTGCGCCATAGGATCAGAGCTAGTAGCTTAGTTCTGCTTGCAGCTGGACTGCAAAATTGAAGGGATCGTAGGCAGTTCTCAAATCATCTCTGCGCGGAATGTGATGTATGGGTTTGATTTGAGTTGGTTAGTCCGAAATCGTGAGGAGAGCACGAATAGTTTGCCGCTCCAGAGCTCGAGATAGCATAGACAAGGTGCATGACAAGTTCCTGTTGGGCTCTGAAGGAAGGGATCTTGGCCAACATCTGTTTTGCTTTCCCATGGTAATCTCCAATTGCAAGTGGGGTTCTTGAACTAACGAGAGCAAATTTCTTTAGGTCATGTACATTCATGGCTTTAGCCAATGTCACCGTAGGAATTTGTGTTTTGACAAATATTTCCTGAAGATTCATGTTCAGCTGCTTAAACATTTGAGCACATCTGGCATTCGGTTTATTTGTTTTGTTAAGCTGGGAAACAGGAAAAGGCCAATATATAGGGTAAAGTAAAGTAAAGGAATATGCATAAAAACTGGCCTTGGCTAACCTCTTTCTATTTAACCTTAATAAGGACATTTGCTTTGAACCTTGATTTTTTTAACTAATTTGTTCTGCTATTCTTATCTGTCCAGGGTCTCAAAAGGTGTTAAAGGGTTGCCTGGCAGCTTTAAGTCCACAACAAGCAGTGTTCCATCTGGCAGATCTCTCATGTATTTCGGTCTGTTTCTTGCTAGTGGTGTATTCCTAGTTTTCATCGCATTCACGATATTTCTGCCAGTCATTGTGATAATGCCACAAAAGTTTGCAATATGTTTCACGGTGGGATGTGCCTTCATAATTGGATCATTCTTTGCGCTGAAAGGGCCTAAGAATCAGCTCTATCATATGATTTCCAAAGAGGTATAGCGTATTTTGTATTGCAAACTTTTTCGTCTCATACTCTCATAAGCTTTGACTTCTCACTATGAATTATATGAAGTTCTCCGTGACATTTCCTGTACTATATTTGTCCTGTTAATTTTTATTTCATTGAACTGGGCATACTATTATTCTTGTCATTCATTGGTCTCATGATGAAGGTTTGCCACCAAAATTTGCCTCACCAAAGATTTGGCAAGCAAAAGTTGACAAAGGTTGGGATTTTTTTTTTGCCAAACATTTAGTAAGCCAAATGTGTGATGTTGTCAAGTTTTGGAAGCAAACCATGGCAACCAAAAAGGCAAAAACTTAGCTTGCCTTGATTTTGTCAGCCAAAATTTGGCTATCAACCAATCAGGCCCTAAATTTTCTTGCACAAATACTATTTATAGCTATCTCATCAAGTTTGTATTGCAACGTATTCATATCCTTGAATTATTTATAATTTGATAAACTATCAAGTTCGTGTCCAATTGTCAAACTGTTATGATCATGAACAGAAACACCAGCCCGAGCATGCTGGTAGGCTCACCTGGTCTTCTTATCTTACTGCTACCAGTTATGCGCAATTTTGTGTGGCATAGCCTACACTACTTTTGTCTTGTTAAAAGAATTACACAATGAATTGAGCATATTATTATTCTTGGCATGTAATGATCTCGAAATGAAGAAAAAAGGGGGCAATATCTAATACGCCACTGAAATTTCTTGTAAAAGTACCATTTAGGTACCTCTCCAGAGATCATTGTACTGTAAAAAGGAATTCACATGACCAAGTTTCTTTGATATCATAGCATATCATATCCTTGGTGTATTGATAATTTGATTCCTTTGATAAACTATCAAGTGTTTGTCCAATTGTGGAACAGTTATGGTGGTTTACAGGAACACGGTCCCTAGCCTGTGGGTAGAGTTACCCGACCTTAACAGAAAGCCAAACCTGTAGATGCATTGACAATGATTGGTACCTCGTACATGATTTGGCAGAGAAATGCTCTATATAGGTCCTGAGTGTGCTTTGTTTTAAGTTAAGAGATATTAGCATGCATGGTACTAAGTTTCTGTTATATTAACATGCAACCGTAGTGAATTTATCCTTGTATTTACCTTGATGTGATTTTGGAGTGTAATATGCATCTGTTAGCTTTATCTAATAACCTGCTTCCACAATTTACAAGATCACTTGCTGACTCTTGGTGTACCATGTTTGTGGATACATTATTAGTTGATGACTTATATCATGAGTTCATATGCTGATCTTTCAATCTTCTGTCAAGAACCACACATTTGTGCTAAATTTCCTGAATTGATTTCCTTATTTCACAGAGATTACCTTTCACCGTGGGATTTGTTGGGAGCATGGTTGCTACCATCTACGTGTCAATGGTGCTTCATAGCTACATACTTTCTGTTTTCTTCTCCGTGCTTCAGGTGATAACATCCTCTTTGCACTTTGCAATCCTCTTGCACAGTGCTATTAGACTTCCTTATGCAACAGGCACCTTCATCCCTTTCAGCATAAGTAGGAGTAGGACCGTCCTCTGTTCTTCCTGCTAGCTGATAGGAACTAACTTTGAAGAGAAACCTTATTTTTTGAATAAGCCATAGAACTCTTATACTCAGTCTGGAGCTTTTCTTATTTTCTGGTGACTGTAGTTGTGAGCTTGACCCTGTGATGATGTATAATGGCTTTGAACTAAGAAACTTTTCTCTTATTTTTTCAGGTCCTTGCTCTAGCATATTATGCCATCTCATACTTCCCTGGTGGATCTGCTGGAATGAAGTTTCTATCATCCGCCCTTGTGTCCTCAGTGTTGAGATGCTTTGGGCGATGAGTTCACCTGTTAGTTGCTTTCACCATCTATTTCATCCTGTTACACTTTTGACTTTTGTTCATATTGACTTAGAGATCGATAACAGTGACTGCAGGCAGTGTCTGTCAAGATATTTGCATGTAACTTACCCACCATATTATATAATTATATTACATCTATGAATGCTCCTCCGATACCAAAACCTTTGTTGTTTGGATAGACTTGAACACCTGTCAAGAAATTTAACTGTGAAAAAGGGTGCAACGCTTAAAGACAATAATCTGCCATTAGGTCATCTGGGAACTCTAGACAGGATTCTTTTTGCATGGCATGGCAAATCATTTTATGTAATAAGTATAACCATGCAATATCTTTTTTTTCCTTTCTAATTCTGATGCCATCTGTTTGTACTCATTTAGATGGCTGTAATCTTTTTGCTTCTGCAGGACTGCATCTTTCCTGTGCTGATTACAGAATTTCTAGTGAATGATCTAGCAGGACTGCGTATCGTTATAAATTGTGCAGCTTCATTACTTCCAGAAGTCTGATGCCATTTTGAAGCACTGAACTCAGCTATTTGGTAACTTGATGATTTTGAGCAAAGGATGTTGCTGGACCCTCCCAGCACTTGTCAGGAGAAATAGAATGTAGCCTGCATATTGAATTATTGGGCACACCAGTTTGGTCTAAAGTTACATTGTACAAAATATATCACTAAACACTGGGCCACAATCTATGCTCATGGCAGAGGAGCGAATTACATGTATGCTTCATGTTCTCATACTATAAACTGATCCTGTCCCTACATTCTCCTTGCGGGGATAAAGTCCACATCGCCACCACGTGTTTAGTTCCCTGTCTTGTTTCTTTCACTGTAAAGAAAGAAAAAGAAATTGCGAGCACGATTTCGTCAGAATTTGAATTTGGGTGGCGCAGTGCGGCTCCCCTATCCGGGAACGGGTGATGGGGATTCCAAGGGCCCATGGGGCCATGAATCACGTATATCCCCTCACCGTGGACGGTTTGGTTTTATAAAAGGTGACCACTGGAAAAGGCACTGCTCTCTCTGCGGCCACACGCGTTTGGATTTTGCTCCTGCTCCCTTGATCCACATCCACTTCTGAAAAGGGTCACCATGTCTGCCTTTGTGGGGAAATACACAGGTTCTTGCTCGCCTTGAATATACTTTTGTATGCCTTTTTAAAAGTCACACGTTGGTGACGCTTCAGTCTTAAAGATTATATTTTTGCATGTAAGAATCTGTTTGTGTAGCAGTTTGTGTCGTGCTGGTACGCGCTGAGTTTTTTAACAAATTCTAGGCTGTTTCTAAGAAATTATACTGAAAATTCCTGTTGAATTCCTGTGTTTGAAACAAGTCTTTATCTTTAGGTTGAAAAACGCAGTTTCGTCTGTCGATACAACAGCCTGTTTGCTTGGTCGTAAACGATCGTAAATTTCCAGCCAAAAATAGTGTTTTTCTCTCACACCAAACCAATCAGCAGTAAATAATCCACGACCGTTTACGGACTTCCGAACAGGCTGACAGCTGTTTATACTACTATATAAATGAAGACGCAATTTGAATTGAAGTTATGTATAAAAGAAACTAGGTCCTGTTACTAAAGTGTAGTCCATCGTTAGATAATAGGCTGAACGTCGACTAATTGAAAAATTCTTTTTTTTCTAATGAGTTCTACTTATCAATCAGCCTCTATTAATTTTAATTAAATTATAATTAGTTCATGTTTAGGCTTTGCATCTCAAATAGGGACTGAAGTTTAGTTTAGTCTATCCAAACACCCCAGCAGCAGTAGTTGCGCGCTCCGCTGTGCCGGAATATAAACAGTGGTAAATAGTATTTGTGAACAGGAAGAAACAGTAGGAACCAGTGTTGCCCTAGCTGTCAGATGGAAACAATAGGAAGAAACAGTAGGAAACAATGGCGTGAGCAGTGCCGAACAGTGGATGAACAGCGTCAGATGGCATGGCTGTCCTCGGATTTTAAGTTATTATTAGTAATATAATATGGCGAAATGGTGCTTTTGTAGTTATAAATAGCTGCAGTATATAGATGCACCGTTCAATCGCTTGAATTGTACGTACAGTATATAATTCGCGCGCGCGCGCAGATGAGCTGATCAAGACCGCCAAGTACCTCGCAACGCCGGGCAAGGGCATCCTGGCCTCCGACGAGTCGACGGGCACCATCGGCAAGCGCTTGTCCAGCATCAACCTCGAGAACGTGGAGTCGAACCGGCAGGCGCTCCGCGAGCTGCTCTTCACGGCGCCCGGCGTGTTCGACTACCTCTCCGGGGTCATCCTCTTCGAGGAGACGCTGTACCAGACGACCTCCGACGGGACGCCGTTCGTGGACCTGATCCGCGCCGGCGGCGCCGTCCCGGGGATCAAGGTCGACAAGGGCACCGTCGAGATCGCGGGCACCAACGGCGAGACCACCGCGCAGGGCCTCGACTCCCTGGGCGCGCGCTGCGCCAAGTACTACGAGGCCGGCGCGCGCTTCGCCAAGTGGCGCGCCGTGCTAAAGGTCGGCCCCGCGGAGCCCTCCGAGCTCGCCGTCAGGCAGAACGCCGAGGGCCTCGCGCGGTACGCGCTCATCTGCCAGGAGTTCGGGCTCGTGCCCATCGTCGAGCCCGAGATCCTCACCGACGGCGCGCACGACATCAAGACCTGCGCCGCCGTCACGGAGCGCGTCCTCGCCGCCGTCTACAAGTCGCTCAACGACCACAAGGTCCTCCTCGAGGGCACGCTCCTCAAGACCAACATGGTCACCCCCGGTTCCGATAGCCCCAAGGCATGTCGCTATGATCGTCATTCTTGCAATCTTTTACTACCAGAGTACCAGCCCATGCCCGATCATCATATTTCATTCATGGATTTTCAGGTTGGCGCGGAGGTGATAGCGGAGTACACGGTGGCGGCGCTGCGGCGCACCGTGCCGCCGGCGGTGCCCGGGGTCGTGTTCCTGTCGGGCGGGCAGAGCGAGGAGGAGGCGACGCAGAACCTGGACGCGATGAACAAGCTGGAGGTGCTCAAGCCCTGGACGCTGTCCTTCTCCTTCGGCCGCGCGCTGCAGCAGAGCACCCTCAAGAAGTGGCTCGGCAAGAACGAGAACGTCGCCGCCGCGCAGGCCACCTTCCTCGTCCGATGCAAGGCCAACTCCGAGGCCGGGCTGGGCAAGTACACCGGCTCCGGCGCCGGGGACGCTGCCGCCTCTGAGAGTTTGTACGTCAAGGGGTACAAGTACTAAGGCGCCACTGCCTCACCAGTGGAATCCGCCAATCCTTGTGTCCCACGTAGCAGCGCTCAATTATCTATGTCCTACATGTGTGTTTGTGTACTAAAAATTCTCTTCCCTTCGTCCGGCTCCTATTTGAGCCAAAAAACACGTTGATCTATTTGCAGCTCGCAATGTACAGTAGTATTACTGGAAGATAAGTGCAATATATGGATGTGACCAGACCATCTTAGTGAAGCTTTGATTCATGGGGTCGTTGCATACAAAATGCATATTCCGGAGCTCAGAAATGGCAATATTTTTGTTTCACAATATCCATTATCTCATCCAGAACTTTCCTGCTGTTAAACTTATTTACTTAATAACAAAAGATATAAAGGAAAAGGAGGGAAAATATGTACATTATTTTCTGGTGCGATTTCTTTTGGCATAAGTAATGTAGCGAAACTACTGAGACAGTGACACCACTCACCAGCACTATAACTAATAGGAGTTCTTATATGCCAGTGCAGTAAGACTAACATACCAATTACAAAATGAAGCACAATAGCAACAAAGCTGGTTCTGAACATTTTGCAAGGGAGTCTGTTCCAACATTTTCCAATCCACAGGCTTCAAATCAGTAGAGCCTGATCCTTGTGGTTATGTGCTGCTGGCATAGAGGGCAGCGCTCCAAATTTTCCCCGCATTCATAGCAAGTCTGTATGCACATGTATGTTAACAGCCTAGAATGCACAACAGTAAATGTCTAGTAAGAACATAGAGTATAGTTGGCTAAAGGTTCCCGCACCTGATGTCCACATCCAAATGCAAGGTCCTTCGATTTATACATGCAGATGGGGCACAGCTGCAGGAAAATGGGTCAGGCCTCTTAGTTTGTAGTGCACAGAGAACATATGTTTTAGCACATATTTCATCAGTATATAGAAACTCAAAACCTGGAATAGCCTTTGTTTCAGTATTTGGAAACCATTATTATGGTCGCAGAATGCAAATATATGTGTCCAACAACTTAACTACAATAGCAAGCTTATGACTATTATGGTTGGTAGATCAATGGAACATAAAAAGGTACAAGTGAACTGAGAAAAAGTCAAATTAGACTAGGCATCGTACTCTACTGTAGAAGTTAAAGCAACAAAATGCAAGGGCCCATACAAATAATCCTAATAAGATGTGAGAGCACAGGTAAAGATCAAATCTCCAGTATTGAAGCTTAGCTTTTCATTTGGGCATGAAATGGTGGGGAATGGTAAAAATAAGAAAGATATACGTACAATTCTGTCCTCTAAAGCTCTTTCTGATGCATAAGTGTCAGGTCTCTTTGGGGCTGCAGGCTGCTGCTGTTTCAAGCTCTCCGAACGTTGTTGAAAGCCACTTGTCTGTTGGTCAAAGCTACTTGATCGCGAATAAACACCAGACTGTTGGCTAAAGCTAGTAGACCGTGAATAAGCAGTCCTTGTTGGTGGTGGCAGAGCAATTCTTGGATTTATTCTTTGGCGGCGGCTGAAGAAGTAGAAAAAAAGGCAATAAAGTGATCAAATAGCACATTGTTGCTCAAAGCTCAAAATATAGTTCTAATGGAGTCAGTATAGTATTGGGAAGCCATATTAGATACCCTAAGAGTTGGAGATCAAGTGTTGCTTTGTACTGCGTAGGGATTTCCATCAGCGCTGACAATGCAAATTCTGCCTCCTTTCTGTCAGCTGCTATGCTCTTTGACATAATCTCCGTGAAATTCACAAACTGCATAAAATGAAGATTTCTTCCATGCTTATTCATTTTTGAACCAGAATATTCTGTTGCATATTAGAAATAATCTGTAGAACAATCACCTGGAAATTGTCAAATGACCGAGCAGGTATATTGTCATCAAACTGGTGCATCATGTCCCATGGTCCATCACCAACCCCGACAAGAACAATTGACAAGGGGAACTGGCTGATTTTTTCAAAAGATAGATGTTATTCTGTGTTTGCCTTATTGCGACAGTAGACAAGGTACAACGTGAAGGTATTATTTTCAAAACCCCAATAAGATACAGTACCTTGCTCTTACTATTGCATCAATAGTATCCCCCTCCTGTGGACTTAATTGTCCAGATTGTGTATCGACACTTCGGGTAACCTATAACCAGAAGTTTTATCCAAGTGAAAAAAGGATAGCCAATCAAAATGTTCCACTAGAAAAGAGCTTTGCTGACAACCACTTGATGATAAGAAATAACAGGTGACTAAAACAAAGGCAAAAATAAAATGATAATGTTCGCCAACCTGTCCATCTGCGATTATCAGAAGAACATGATATTGACCACCAGTGCTGTCAACAATTCCAATTGCTGTCTCAATTATCGGAGCGAAAGATGTAGGACCTGTTACAAAATTAAAACTACACACACTTTAGCATGCACTTCTCTCCCTGACAAACCACTAAAATTTTAGCTACCATGCTTTAGTACCATACTACCATATAATAAATAGCTAGTTATAATTTGATGTAAAATAGTAATTCTGCTCCTTTTCTCTTTTTATGAAAGAACAAACTTGGTTTTGGTTCAGAAAAACAAAAGAGAGAGAAAAGCCATCTATATAAATCTTCACTAAACAAACCTGCTAATCGAAGAGTTGGAACGATTTCTCTGTATCTGTCTAGCGCCTCTTCAAATCCGTTGCATGGGCGGTTCTCTGGGTAAAAGCTGAATACCTCCTGATCATGAGTTGATGCTGCTCAGAAGAAAACAGAAGCACAAGATCAACACTGTGCTTTAAACATGTTATTGAAAACTCATCAAGTGATCATCAGAAAAAGGCAACTAAATGATTACCGTCACCAAATCCGAAGCAGGGAATCAAATTATCTTCATCAAATGCTGAAAGTGTCCTTCCAATAATAGATATAGCTTGCTCATATGGGTTTGGAGTGTTTCCAATATCATGCAGGCAGCGACGGTTAAAGGAAATTTTACCTAACATAGACTTTCTTGTAAGTTAAATGAAAACCGAAAGTATTATGATCCAACATGGATTTTTTTGTGCATGCTTAAACTGAAAAATAGTATGATTCTACAATTGTTTTTTTTCATGTTCAAACTGAAAAGTAGTATGATTGAACAACAAATAAAGGCAACAGTTATCAGATCAAAGCAACATGAGTTTTGTTGAGGCGTCCTTTGTACAGTGAGACAATACTAATTGTCAGCTTATCCTTTTCTTTTGAAAAAATCCTTTCTCTAACATGGTTTCCTTTAAACAATAGAAGAGAAGTTAGCATGTCACTGGGAGTACAGGTAAACCGATTTCTTCAATAATAGTAAACCACAAGATTTGTCATACAGGCAAAGGCAACTAGATCTGAAAAGAAGGTTTGCCCCTAAAACCAGGCAAACCAAGAAATATTCTAGTAGCTTAGTGTGTAAATTGTAATGAGTATCAGTGCAGCACAGAGTAGACATAGAGAAGCACAAGTATGCATCTAACAAAAAAGGGGGAATGTCATCTGCTAACCTGTCCATTCATTGCTCTTTGTAAAATCAATGCCTACAATAAGATTTGAAGATTCAAGACCTGCTTGTGCCAAAGCTTCAGTCACCTGTAACAGTACAGAACCATAAAAAAATTGGTGTAGTTACAACCTCAGGTTCACAGTACTCAGAGAGGAGATAGTGCGCAAGACTATAATAGATGTCCTATCTGACTGGGCAGTGAGCACTGAAGGAACTGAAGCAAAGTATGCAATCTTCATATTATTTAATACATGGTAGTAACAAGTACAGTGAAGAGAGTGCGGCAATACAGCCCTTGTAGGAATATTTTTGGAAAAAAGAGTCCTATAAACATAGTTTATTCCAAAGTTCACAAAGGATGATTGAACCAAAAGATGAACAGTGCCATTCTACCAAGCTAGTGGAAAACACAAACCAAAAGTAACAATGTAGATAAGAGAACCAGTAAAAGATGAGAGGCCATGGCATTGCCATCAAGACATACCTGACTCAAAGAACGATAGTCATCCCCAATCCTGGAATACTTCCTCTGCAACCTTGCCGTTGTTTCTGGCTGTACATTGTTCTCTGAAGAAGGTGCATACCTCGAGCTATAACTGGAGGACGTATTTCCAGTGTTTCTCGAGTTATATCCCGATGAAGTATTCCCGTAATCATAAGAGTAGCCATATCCATATGAAGGCTTGGAATTCGAAGGCTTGGAGTTCTTTTGCCCCATTTCTCAACTTGTGCCTCTGGATGACTCCAACACCCAGATGAGCTTCCTGGTAAATAAAGGGAAGAAAAACATCAATGAACACAGACACCAAAGTAACTGAAAGGATTCGGGAAAAAAATATCTGGAATAAAGCATACAGTATCTAATTTAGGAAAAACAGCTTTCTCAAGAATTTTTTCAACGGAACTTTACCCATCAATTTTACAAGGAAACCTTTTGAAAGATGCTCGTGGCTGGGATTCCGTTGCCAATAATGGGCATACTTCCTACCCTACAGCATCTACAGCATCATTAACCTCTTTCCATGGTCAAAATTTCTCTTTTGCGAACTTTCCATGGCCAATATCGAGTATCGACCATTTTTGTAAGATTGAAAAAAAACGTGGGCCAGTTCCTATACAAACATTGAAGATATCGAAGGGCGTCTGAACGAAATTCGATTTCGGCATGGCATATATATATAGGAAACATCAAATACTAACGAACACCGGACGAACTCACCAGACTCGATTTGATCCACAAACCGCCTAAGCCAACCGAGAATTCGGCGTCCTAGCCAAGAGGAAAGAAAAGGAGATGACGCCGGAGGGGATGAGAGAAGTGGGTACTGGGGAGGGGATCAGGGGAGGTGGGTGGATTGATTGAGGACAAACTGCTGGAGTGAGATATCGGGACCGCGTAACAAGAAAACCAGGGCTACTCCACAAGATCCGACCACGGAATCAGCAATCCACGTGGGGCTCGGGCTCGGGCTCACTCACCTCCGCTCTTGTCCCGTACTCCCGTGCCGTCCAGGAACGCGCGCCTCCGCTCCGCTCCGCGACGAGGGCGAGGAGGAGGAGGAAGAGGTCGACGGGACTGAGGTGGGCAGCGCACCGGATGATGAAGCGAGGCGCAAGGGGCTAGTCACACCGCACCCGCAGCGGATAGAATACTATAATCGGAGGAAAAGCCCGCGGGGAAGTGAGGTCAAGTCTGCTCAAGCCGGAGGCAATGCGATGCGATGCAATATTGCGGAGGCGGAGGTGGAGTGGAGAGGTTTCTTGTCCGCCGGGTCTCTGACCCCGCTGCTGGGAAAACGACGCACGGCGGAGGAAGCTTCGGCGCGGGAGAGGGCACAGCTTGTCGCGATCACCAGCACGAGCTCAAGACGCTTGCTGGTGAGTGAGTGAGTGCTGACACAGAAAGTCAGTTGCGAGCTGCATTTAAAGCTCGGTGATAAAGCTGTGAAGCTCGATTGGAGCTCGGATTGAGCTTTAGGCCTCGTTTAGATCACTTCCAAATTCCAAGTTTTTTCACTCTCTCTCTGTTATATTAATTTTTGGACGTATACATGAAACATTAAATGTAGGTAAAAAAATAACTAATTGCACAGTTTTGTTGTAAATCACGAGACGAATCTTTTGAGGCTAGTTAATCTATAATCGAACAAAGTTTGTCAAATACAAACGAAACATTCTACAGTGTTCAAATTGCAAAAATTTGGAATCTAAACTGGGCCTTATTTCGACCCGACCTCGAGCTTATTTCTGGGCTCGCGAGCCCAATCGAGCCGAGCTCGAATGGTTAAAGCTCATCAACTATTATTATAAATATAATATAATGTATTTTACATGTTATTATAAAATATTTACTAGTATTATGGGGACGTTTGTTTACCGGACTCACCCAGCCACACTCCATCTATGGCGGAGCCACAACTGTGGCGGAGATTTCTGGCACCACAATCGTGGCAACAATTTACACTAGAAAAAAGATGTTGCTGCCAATATTGAAGTAGCAACCAAATAGCAGGAGCAATAACTGTGGCATCCTTCGTTTGGGCGGTGTCGGTGGCTGGGAACCAAACATCCCCTATATATTTTCTGATCACGCCATGGCATGTTTTTCATTAGAAGTAGTAAATGGAAGTATAAACCATCTCCTTCTCATTTAGAAGGACTTTTGAAGGCTCTAAGAGGAGCCTTGCCTCTAGAATAAGAAACCCAAAGGAGCCGGAGTCGTTTTTCTATATAGGAGATAGAGTTGTGAAACAATGGTTTCTTCTTAGGACCTATTTGATTGGCTTCCGATTCTTGGCCAACCAAAATCATATCAAAAGAATATGATTTTCGGAGTATTCGTTTTAGCTACTGCAGCGGCTATGGCTGCTAAGGATGGCAATGGGGTGGTTTTTGGGTCGGATATCCGCGGGTTTTGGGTTTGGGTTTCAGGTCTCACGGGTTCGAGTTCGGGGATCATTTCTTACCCACGTTTTCAGGTTCGGGGCCCCGAAACCTATCGGGTTTGGTTTCGGGTTTGGTTTCCCACCCGTGGATATCCAATGGATATCTGAAATAAATTATTTGAATGAAAACTCATGTTTTATAATATGCTAATAATAACTTGTTTACTTAGATTATTAAATTTATTCTAAGTTGACTCATGAAAATATTTATTATTTGTTGCCTCTTATTTGTACATGTGAATATGTGTAAATATATCATGCATATGTTTATAGAAAGTCCTTATTGCTCTTACTATGTTGCCATACAAAGCGGGTTTCGGATATCCATTCGAGTTTTGGGTATCCACGGTTTTAGTTTTGGGGACGGATTATCACCCGAAATGGTGGTCGGTGCGTGTCGGGAACCTAATACCGGGGTATACAAGGAGGTGGAACTAATAACCATCGAACGTTAAAAACTCCCGAACGGACAAGAGCACCGCTGCACTTCTTGCCCGAACAACGAGAGTTTGGTTTCGCCTCGCCCGATGCCCGTCGGCCAGCTCCGACTCCCCCGACGGCTGGGGGACAGCTCCGCCTCACCCGAGGGCTGAGAGCTATACTCCGCCTCGCCCGACCCCTGAGGGCTAGGCTCCGCCTCGCCCGACCTCCGGAGGCTAGGTTCCGCCTCGCCTGACGGACCTCGCATCGCCCGATGTCCAAGGACTGGCTCCGCCTCGCCTGACAACCGCACCCCGCTCCCTCATGATGATAGGCACATGGTAAGACAAGACGTTCGGGTCAACCATGGCATCGAAGGACCATGTCCTGCGCCCCTGCAGGAAAGTACCGTCAGGACATGACGGGACGGGCGCTTAGACCCTTACAGGCGTGACAAAGCCTGAATAGTGTTGCAGGCGCGTTCTCTTCGCCCTACAGTGTTGTAGGCGCCGCCTTCAAACCACCAGGCGAAGAACCCGACACGGACATACGACAACCACTACGTTCCAAGAAGAGACTCCCGTCCTCTACAATGGCAAAACGAGCAATCACCACGACATCCGCTCCCCACGGGGTCAGAGTTCAACAACCCTGTCCGACACGCCGCCCGTAGGGGCGGGATGGGACGCACCCACTTACTAAAAGAGGTCAGGGCATGACCTACGAAGATCAACGAACATGCCACTTTTGACACTGTCTGCCATGGTATACAGGGCGGGCGCAGGAAAAAAGGAAGACCCAAATCCTTCGAAGGACCTTCTATACCCTTGGTATTTTCCTCTTTCTCCCATCTGTAACCCCTGCTCCCCCCTTGGTCTATAAAAGGGAGGGCAGGGCTCCCCACTAGAGGGACATACTTTTGACACCGACTTTGGACACCGAACTCACATACAGACAAACTCATAGAGAGTTCAGTTCGACATCACATACACACCCAAGCCGCCACCAGGCTCTTGGCCTCCTTTCGACCCTTCCATCAAAGACCTGGGACCAGTCCCTCTCTCGACCGTTTGTACCCCCTACTACGAACCGCTTTTGGTGCTAATAACACGAGCAGCAACAGACTAGACGTAGGGACATTCAGCCTAAACCAGTATAAACCTTGTGTCCTTCAGCGCACCATCCGGGCCTAACGCGCATAATTATAAATTTATTAGCCGGTGCTTGTTCGAAACACCGACAGTTGGCGCGCCAGGTAGGGGCCTTTGCGCGTTCGAAACCAGGCCACGGATGGCTAACCACAACGTCAGCTGGGTCCCAGGCGCACACATGCGCTTCAGGAGCCTAGATTTCATCATCACGGTGGGAGGAGAGTTGGTACAGGCGCAGACCGCCATCCAATCTCTCCCCTCCATCGTCCTCGACCACAAGAAGCTTGGGCACCAGCTCAGCGTCTCCCTTGGACCCCTGTAGTCCAGGGAGAACCAGCGTCGCCTCACCCTTTCCAACGATGATGACATGGCACGACCTTCCGAAGAGGGGCACCTCTCTCTAGAGCACCACGTGCGGAGCGCCCTGACAGCGTTTCCATTCGGTCTCTACAACGCCGCGGCGACCGCTTGCCACCTCGTGGCACTACGCATGGTTCAACCGCCCGTGGACAGCGAGTTCGTGGGGGTAATTGAACATGACACGGAGTCCATCCACAAACTCCTCACCGAGGAGCCAGAGTCATCCTCTAGCTCTGACTCTAGCAGGGGGAGCCATCACCCTTCCCGGGAATGCTTCATGGAGGAAACCTCCAAGGGGCACGTTGAAAGCGTCTCCGAGGGGAAGGCAACCCCGATAGGCAACCCTAACGCCAGGACAGGAGGGGAGGCGGCGGCCCCATCTCACGTAAGGATGGAGCAGCTGAGAGCACGAAAGCTGAAGATCGATGATGCCGGACAACAGCTTGTCCGGGAGTACCGGAAGATTGATGAGGAAATCAAGCGTCGCGGAGACGGTGGGCACGCACGCGCCGCGGCCTGTGATGTACACCAGAGGATCCTCACCGACGACGGGACCCTCCCTCACTTCGCTCGGGCAAGCCAGAACATCGCCGCTGCGATGGCTTTGCTTCACAGCCTTCCAGAGGCCACGACGTCTGACGATCGCCGGGCCCGCCCAGAAATTCGCATGTTGCTCGAGCGTGCGGCGGTGCAGCAGGCGGAAAGCTCGTTGTCTCGGCGACGCGAGCTTGACACCAGCCAGCGCACACCCTCGGTGCGTCCCGCCAAGGACGCGTCGGTTCACCAGACACCACCAGGCGGCAGGCAGCACACCCCTGTTCCGGTGCATCAACGTCTCGGCCACAACCGCGACGCACGCAGCGCCATCGACGCCCGCAGACGCGCCTACAACGACTCAAGAGAAGGAGCCAAACGCGGCTACCACCCTCGCGCGCGGCAGACGCTACGACAGCGGCGAGGACCGGAGCCCGAGCCCTGGCCTGTCGGGCCCTCAGGCCTTCGGCCGACACATCCTTAACGCTACTTTCCCGCCAAGGTACCAACCGCCTACCAACATCCCTAAATATTATGGAGAAACAAACCCCGGGCTTTGGCTCGAAGACTATCGGCTTGCCTATCAAGCCGGTGGCGTGAATGATGATGATTTCATTATTCGCAATCTCCCACCATTCTTGGCCGATTCGGCACGAGCATGGTTGGAGCACCTACCGTCCAACGCCATTCAGAGTTGGGCGGACTTGAGGGAGATCTTTGTGGGAAACTTCCAGGGCACGTACAAGCGCCCTGGAAACCCATGGAACCTCAAGAACTGCCGCCAGAAGGGCGATGAAACCCTCCGCGGGTACATCCAGCGCTTCTCCCGGTAGTGCAACGAGCTCCCTAACGTCGCCGATGCCGACGTGATAGGAGCCTTCCTATCCAGGACCACCTGCGAGTCTTTGGTCCATAAACTGGGACGCAGGGGCCCATGGACCATCAAGGAACTCCTGGACATCGCCACCAGCCATGCCTCAGGAGAGGAGGTGGTCAGAGCAATCTTCGATCGTTCCGACAACAAGGCAAGACGGGACGAGGGCGTCGGCGAAGGCGTCTCCAACCGTTCCGCCAAAAGAAAGAATAAGAAGCAACGACGTGACGACTCGCTCGTGGCCACTACCGACCGCAAGGGTGGCCGGAAGCCCACGGAGGGCACTCCGAACCACTTCGAAAAAATGCTCGAGGGGCCATGCCCAAACCATGCTTTCCCGGCCAAGCATCTATACAAGGATTGTGGCCTCATGCGCAAATACTTGTTCGGAGGCCTCAACAAAGGGGAGCAAGGGAAGGAATCTGCCCCCACCATAGACGATGCCGAGGAGAAGGACGACGCCTTTCCAACGCCGAATGGCGCCCTCATGATCTTTGGAGGCCCAATGGCCTACGACTCCAAACGTCGCCAGAAGGTCGCACGCCGCGAGGTCTATATGGCTGGACCGGCCACGCCTGCCTTCCTCCGGTGGTCTGAATCCGCCAT